AAGGTAAATGCCATCCTATTAATAAAGTGTTTACCGAGGTATTCCTATAATGGATACTTCACTTCCCAAATTAAAATTTTATTTGACTGAATAAAGATAATTGTTCTAAAATCTGAAACTTTATCCATCAGACTATGTTGAACATATGATATAATCAGCTTAAAAATAAACATGCTCTAACTGACTGGCAGTAGCTGCTGCTGTCAGTAATGTTAGGCCTACCTACAGATCCATGACTAGTCTCTTGTAGTGAATTCTAGCTTCGTATATGTAGATTTTCTCTTAAGGAAAAAAATTCAGATAGTGACTCTGAACCAACTGCTTAGTTAAGATTGCTTTTTATGTAGTCTTGACATTTAGTATTGGAAAAATAAAAGTTAAGTTTAACTCAGATGACAAATAATGCCTATTTGTGGCATCTTGCAAGCTATTCTTAAATTATTCATAGCTCAATTGATAGCTCCATTTGTTTCCAGTTTTTTAGACTTTTTTTTAAGAAAAAATGTTATTTTTAGTTTGGCTCCTATAGAAAAATACCATGGTGGCTTTTCAAAACATTAAAAATGGAGCTTTCATATGACCCAGTGATTCTACTCCTTCATATCTATCCCAAGAACACAAGAATATTAATTCAAAAAGATAGATGCACACCTGTGTTCAACACAGTGCTATTTATAGTAGCCAAAATGTGGAAATAACCCAGGTACCCAACAACAAATGAGTGGATAAAGAAATTTTGAGGCTGGAGTGATATGGTGTTTGCTTGTATGCAGCCGACCTGGGTTCAATCCCCGGCATCCCGTATGGTCCTCTGAACACTGCCAGAGGCGATTCTTGAGCGCAGAGCTAGGAGTAATTCCTGAGCATCGACAGGTGGTCCCAAAAAGCAGGAAAAAAAGAAATTGTGGCATAAATGCATAACGTGCTACCATTCAGCCCTAAGTAAACATTGTAATCTTCCAGTTTGCTGCAACCTGGCTGTAACTGGAGGAAATTATACTAAAGTAAATGAGTCAGAAGGACAAATACTGGGTGATATCATTTATATGCAGAGTATATAGAAGCAAAATAATGGAATAGACAATGGCCAGTAGAAACAAATCTGAGATTCAGCCTATCAAACTATTGTTGGGTGGGATGTATTATAAATGTCATTTATCTTGTTAATTGATGGTGTTTAATTCTCTGTCCTTTGCTAATTTTTTTTTGTTTCATTACTGAGAGAAGAATGTTGATGTCTACTGTAATCATTTTCCTTTGATCAGTTTCTTTTGGGGTGGAGACACACCCAGAAATGCTGGGGTTTACTTCTACTTTGTGCTCAAGGATCACTCAGGGGACCATATGTGGTGCTGAAATTTGAACCAGGGTCAGCTGTTTGCAAAGCAAGTATTGCCTGAACTGTCTCTCCAACCCAGTTTTATCAGTTTTGTTTCACATATTTAAAGTTCTATTATTAGGTTTCAAGTTTAGCATTATATTTATTGTCCTACTCTGTTATTGTGTTGCTTGTTCTCTCTCTCTCTCTCTCTCTCCTCCCACCCTCCCATACCACCTTTCTCTGAAATCCACTTTATGTGATGCTAATATACCCACTCCATCTCTGTTTTCTTGAATGTCCTTTCCATTGATTTTAGCTTACCAGTAGTCTTACATTTTAGGTTTCTTGTGTAGATGGCTTATAGTTGGGTCTTGTTTTTTAATTAAATTTGAAAATTTCTTCCACACTATCTCTTCCTTTACTTCTCCTTTTCCTTCCCCTGCCCTCTTTTCCTTTCCTTCTTTTCTCTCTTTCCCATTTTTACCCCCTGCCCAATATCTTTGTTCCTTCTACTAGAGATATTTAATATTTAATGTTTAAAAATGCTTTTTACATTTTTAGGCTTCACCTAGTAGTGCTAGGTGCCTCTTCCATCTCTGGGAACTAACTCGGGGCAGTTGTATGCAAGGCAAGTGCCTTAACACCAGCACTCTCTCTCTCAAACTCCTCCTGTAGATACTTTAAAAGGCCAGTTGGGTTGGAGAGCTAGAAGAGGAATTAAAGCTCTTTTCTTGCACATTTAGTTCAGTCCCTGTCACCACATAAGGTCCCTGAGCACCATCAGGAGTAATCCTCAACACTGCTGGGTGTGGCCAAAAAACAAAACATGAAGTACTGAGCAGTTGTCTATGCATCTTACTGGGTAAGAATACAGAGCAACTGGAATATTCATTCATTGATGATGGGAAATGGTAGAGCCACTTTAGAAAACAATTTAGTAGTTTCTTAAGAAGTGTAAACTACACTTAGGATCCAGCTATGCCTTTCCTAGATGTTTGCTCAAAAGACAGAAAAACATATGTTCACATTAAGATCTATGTACAACTTTGTTTATAATTGCCCCAAACTGAAAAGACTTCATAAACTTACACACATCAAAAACAACTTCAGGGACTGGAACAATAGCATAGCGGGTAGGGTGTTTGCCGTGCACGCAGCCGACCCAGGTTCGATTCCCAGCATCCCATATGGTCCCCTGAGCACCGCCAAGGGTAATTCCTGAGTGCAGAGCCAGAAGTAATCTCTGTGCATCGCCAGGTGTGACCCAAAAAAAAAAAAAACTTCAGATCACTACACAGTAAATAGACATATCATCACAAGACAAACATATAAACAAATTTTTCCATGTTCATATAATAGATACATAGTAATGAAATTTCACATACACAGCAATATGAATGAATTTCAGAAGCATTGTTCTAAGTTAAAAAGACTTTTAAAAAAATTTTTGGCATCTTTTAATTTATTTTTTTATAATTTTTAAAAATTTTTATTAATGAAACACCATGAGGTACAGTTGTAGACTTACAAATTTTTGTGCTTGGGTTTCAGTTACACAGTGATCAAGTACCCATGCCTCCACCAGTGTCCATTTTCCACCACCATGGGTCCCAGTATCCCTCCTACCCTTTATCCCCCTCATCCCACCCTGCCTCTGTAGTAGGGCATTCCCTTTTTTTCTCTCTCTCCTTTTGGGTGTTGTGGTTTGCAAAAGAGGCGTTGAGTGGCAATCATGTTTGGTCTATAGTCTACTTTCAGCATGCTTCTCCCATCCTGGGAGGATCCTCCCAACACCCTTTATTTGGTGCTCCCTTCTCCATCTGGGCTCCCTAAAAAGACTTTTTTAATCAAACTTTCTGAATAAGGCAAAAAGAAGAGAAAGAAATTAGATTTAGTGGTTGTCCAGGGGCTGGAAGCTAGGGTAAAGTAATTTTCTGAGGAGTGATACAAACGTTCCGTGTTGTTTGTAATGATTATATGACTGTAAGCATTGCACTGTATACTTAAAGGGATGGGTTTTCAGTATATAAATTGTCCCTCAATAAACCTGACTTTGAAAGATCTATTAAGTAGCATGTTGATTAGAGAGAGTGTCAAACTTACTTTGAGTTAGTTATTTAGTACTTGAGGAAATAAAGGAGCATTGAAAAATGTCTTTAGATAATCAAACTTAAAACATCATGTAAAAAATGATCTTTTCAACCATGTTCCATTGGTCTACAGCTCTGCCTTTGTTCCAGTACCATGCTGTTTTAATTATTATTGCTTTGTAGTAGAGTTTGAAGTTAGGGAGGTTGATTCCTCCCATTTTCTTTTTCCCAAGAATTGCTTTAGCTATTCGTGGGGGCTTATTGTTCCATATAAATTTCAAGAGTGTTTGCTCCATTTCTTTGGAGAATGTCCTGGGTATCCTAATGGGGATCGCATTGAATTTGTATAGTGCTTTCGGAAGTATTGCCATTTTGACAATGTTAATTCTCCTCATCCATGAACAGGGGATATTTTTACCAGGAGGGATTCCTGAGCTCTGCTTTTTGTGGCCCAAAAATCAAGAGGGAGGAAAAGTTTATTTGATAGGATATGAAGTAAAGTTTATCTATATATTTTTTCCACATTGTTAACCAGTTATCTATGTAACTGAATAATTTTTTAACCTTTTTCCACCCCTGTGTATGTCATGGCACAGCCAGCAGCAATCAGGGGCTGCTCCCTGCAGGGCTCAGAGAACTATATAGTGCCAGGGATTGAACCTGGTCTCCTCTCTGCTGCGGCCCTTTGAACCAGTTCCCCTCATTGGTTTGAAATGTTTCTTTAATTGATAATTTGACTTTTTGTTTTTGTCTTGGGGCTGCGCCCAGTGGAGCTCAGGGCTTAGTCCTAGCTTTACATACAGGGATCTTTGACCCTTATATTTTGATATATTTTCTAAATTTGGCATTATTTTGTCGATTTTGTTGATTATTAATAGAAATCTTTTTCTACATGTTATTCAGAGAAATTTAACATCTTCCTATCTAGAACCATTCACACTTCTCACTAAAACATTATACCATTAGTTTATATTAGAGGTTCACAAACTGGCCTATATTTTCTGGAAAAAAGATCTGCCCAGTAATCACCTGGAAATCTGCCTCCTTTAATTCAGTAAATAAGGGCTGGAGTAATAGCACAGCAGGTAGGACGTTTGCCTTACATCATCTCTCCCTCCTCCCTCCGACCCTTCCTCTCCATCCCTTCCTTCCTTATGCTGGGGATAGAACCTAAGACCTCACACGTGCAAGGCAAGTACTCTACCATATCCTAAGCCCCCCAAATCTTAACCTTCTATGCCTTACTTCTCACATCTGTACTTTGAGTTAAACAATACCTACCTTATATATATTCTGTTAATACATACCATACAGAAGAGATCTGGCAGATGTAAACTCAAATGTAGAACTGTCATTAAAATTGTTACTCATGGATGTATTCAAGCTTTTCATAACTAGTTGTTCATCCTGTCAAACAAACATTTTGTTCACATGTGTTCCTTTTCAATATGTAGTCCTTTAACCTTCTTTGGCTCTTCTATAATTCCAGAGCCTTCTCCAGTTAAAGCAGATGTGTTCGTGCAGAGATGACTGGTTTAGTTTCTTTGGTCTTTCTGATAAGTAAACTAATTTGTTCCTTCATGTTACAGGCGGTATGCAAGATTACAATTATGTCTGGGCCGACTGTTTTGAGATCACATTAGAACTGTCTTGTTGCAAGTACCCACCTGCTTCACAGCTCCGACAGGAATGGGAGAACAATCGTGAGTCTTTGATCACATTGATTGAAAAGGTAAAAGCTGAGGGTGAGGATATGGAAATAATGGATTAAATAATGGAGAAAATTTGGCAAATGACTTACAACTATACTCAATATCTTTAATCTTTTTTGTTATTCTAGATTCTCATATCTTTTTGTTATACTAGGTTATTTTGATATGCTAGATTATCCAGCTCAGGTTGAGTCTGCCAGTTTTGAGTCAGACACAGATACCTCAGTCCTAAAGGAGGTGACAACTTACCAACAGCTATGGCACCCCAGGCACCGTGCAGAAATATTCAGGTTGTAGATGATTAAGAATGAGAAACCTGCTTTAATTATGACCTTTGAGGATGGGACAGAACTAGAGGGCATTTTGGATTCAGGTGCCGATGTTATTATTATTGCCTCTCATCATTGGCCTGTTGCTTGGCAAAAGAGCCACGTGGATGTTACTTTTGTGGTATGGATGTGGTCACTCATGTTCAGCGGAGTGTGCACCCACTTCATTGCATTGACCCCGTGGGAATATGGCAGTGATTCAGCCGTATATTACCCCAATATCAGTCACCTTTGAGTCAGGACATACTGAAAGAACTTGGTATAAACCTCTTTATAATTAGAGATAATTACGAACTTTTTTTTTTGCATTTTTATTTATTTATTGAGATAATTAAGAACTTTTGAAGTCAAAGTCAAAAATGGTCAACATTTTACCACCTTAGGTTACAATAACTTTGTCATAATCTATTTTTCCGGCTTATTTCAACAAAAGCGCTTTAGACAGGCTAGTTAGACTGAGAAACTGGGAACAATCCCATTGGCCGACGGGGAATTTTTACCCTGAGGATTGTCCTTAAAGGTCAGTGATATGCAATCCAGCAAAAAGTTTAGGTGTTTTTGGAACTTGCTAGGCAAAAGATTAAACAAAGATTACTAATCAGAATGTGGCGCCTACAGAGAAATTGAAGTTTTCAATCTAAATTTTCTTATTGGGGAAACATTAATGGTTATTAACAGTTGAAATTCTTTTTAACTTAAGAATCTGTACTATCTAGGAAGAGCTGCGGAACTAGAGCCTGGAACTAAAGTGAAATAAGAGTTCTGGGAATCTAAAGCTTTATCTTACAAGCCTTAGCCAATTTTATTTTATTTATTTATTTTTGTTAATTTTTATTAGTGAAACACAATGGGTTACAGTTGTAGACTTACAAATTTTTGTGCTTGGGTTTCAGTTTACAATGATTGAATACCCATCCCACCACCAGTGCCCATTCTCCATCACCACGGATCCCAGTATCCCTCCCACCCCCCATTCCCCCATCCCCCCCTGCCTCTGTGGCAGGGCATTCCCTTTTGTTCTTTCTCTCTCTCCTTTTGGGTGCTGTGGTTTGCAAAAGAGGCATTGAGTGGCAATCATGTTCAGTCTATAGTCTACTTTCAGTATACATCTCCCATCCTGGGAGGATCCTCCCAACACCCTTTACTTGGTGCTCCCTTTTCTATCTGAGCTGCCTTCTCCCCCAGCATGTGTGGCTGGCCTCCAAGCCATGGAGTGAACCTCCTGGTACTTATCTCGGCTATTCTTATGTGTTAGTCTCCCATTTTGTTACTTTATATTCCCCAGATGAATGCAATCTTTCTATGTCCCTCTCTTTCTGACTCATTTCACTTAGCATGATACTTTCCACCTAGTACCATTTGTGTGTAAATTTCATGACTTAATTTTTTCTGACCATGCCTCAGCCAATTTTAACGAAGAATTTAGGCTGCTTTACAAACAATAGAAGTACAGAAGCCATCAAAATAAACCAAAAAAGTTTTCTTGTGTTTCCATAAACATTGGCAGTTCAAGTGTTTTCAGCATGTTTGTATTGTGGAATTGTTAAAGTATCTGGTGTAGAAAGCTCATGATTTGAGATAACTAAGGTATAAGAACTATTGAAATTAAGTCAAAAGAGGTTGGTTCCAAGTTCTTCTTATGCTGCTATGTCTCTCTCTCTATATATATATGTATTTCGTGTGTGTTGTTTGTTGAGGACTGGAGTGATAGCACAGCGGTTAGGGCATTTGCCTTGTACGTGGCTGACCTGGGTTCGATTCCTCCGCCCCTCTGAAAGAGCCCAGCAAGCTACCGAGAGTATCCCGCCTGCATAGTAGAGCCTGGCAAGCTCTCCGTGGCATATTCAATATGCTAAAAACAGTAACAAGTTTCACAATGGAGACATTACTGGTGCTTGCTCAAGCAAATTGATGAACAGTGATAGGACAGTGCTACAGTGCTACAGATTATCATAGAAGTATGTTCAAGTATATTAGAATAGTCTAGCTGTGCTTCTCTTGCCTATCCCCCTTCCGATTCTTTTTCTCCAAAAGGCTTTCTTTTACTTTCACAAACTGAAGTAATGAACTAAATTTGTACTGCCAGTGCAGTCTCTTGCAATGTCATTATGTAATCATATTTGCTTGAGAGCTGTTACAGCCCTGTGTGAACCATGTTCATAAGCTTAATATAATTATTAGATAAACTAATATGCTATTTGGATATATCAGAAATTATTGTTTATATCTTTTTGAAAAAAAATGGTGGTCTGGTTTTGAGAAGGACTTTCAAAAGCATATCAGTAATGTAAATTTTAATATGTAAGAGTTAAATTTAAGAGTATAAGTTAGTATTTTTTGTACATATATCTGTCTGTCAGGTGTTACTGCCATACCTGGCAGTGCTCATGAGTTATTCTTGAACTCAATACTCAAGGATCACTCCTGCAGTACTTGGGAGGGGTATATGATGCTGAGGATTTGACCTGGGGTCAGCTGCCGTTCAAGGCAGATGCACTAAGTGCCTTACTTCCTATACTAATTCTCTGACCCTTTTATCTGTATTTTAACTTGAAGGAATTAAAAGATGTTTCTGGTAAAGGAATAACTTTTTTTCTTTTTTAGAAATTCTAGCATCAATAAAGAGAGGTTATGATCTCTTACCTTCCAAATTGATTGTCTCTGAGTAGTCTGCTTTGATTCTTGTTTGTTTAGGTCCACATTGGAGTGAAAGGATTTGTTAAAGATTCTATAACAGGATCTGGCTTAGAGAATGCAACCATCTCAGTGGCTGGTATTAATCATAATATCACAACAGGCAGATTTGGTGATTTCCATAGATTGCTTGTTCCTGGAACTTACAATGTTACAGCAGTTTTAACTGGGTAAGCATTTAAATTAGACTCTTAAGACATCAAACCTCCGTTTATAAGAGGCTTTTGTAATCTAAGATATAGTTTATATCTATAATTTAGGAAATGTTGTTTAGCATTTCCTGCTTTTTCTCGTTTTCTTATTCCTTACCCATCCCCTCCTCCCATTTATATAGGTGATACTTACTTTGTAGAGCCCTTTGTTGCATAATCTAGTAATACAACTAGATATGAAGCACAATTTAAAAAATAAGAAAGCCTTGAAAAGATGGTCAGCTGTGTAATGCATCTCCTCAAGGCTAATAGAACAGCAGAGTAGAAGAAACTCAGGTTTCTATAAAAGATATTTTGAGGAGTTGTCATTAGCCTTCTCTTATTAGTAAATGAGTAATAAATTTGCCAATTCCCCTGAAAAACCTTCCTAAAGGCTAACTTTGATGAGTTTTACATAATCTTTAAATAAATTTGAACTTTCCTGTTTTGGAAAGTAGTTGGAATGTTAAATTAATAATAAGCTACAAACAATTAGATCATGTATCCCTTCTTTGACTATTGTAGCAATGGTTACAATAGTTTTAAAATTATAGTTTAGATCATATGGTTATAATAATGTTAATATATATAGTTTTGATGTACAGAATTATTGAATTACCACTAAGGGGTCCAGTACCCTCCATCAGTGTCCTTGTTACTTCTGTCTACTTCTTTATTCCCACTACCCACTTTCTGTGTTTTCTTCTTTAAATAGAATTTGGGTGGGCCAGAATGATAGGACAGTGGGGAGGGCATGTGGCCGACCTGGGTTCAATCCCTGGCATCCCATGTGGTCTCCTGAGTGGCATAAAGAGTCATTCCTAAGTGCAGAGCCAGGAGTAACCCTTGAGCAACTCCAGGTGTTGCTCCCCAAAAACACAAATGGCAAATAAATAAATAAATTAATAATAATAATAAAATGTTGGGGTGTTGTGAAATCTGAGAAGATAGTAATAGGAATGGTTCTCTAAAGACTTAATTTGGAATTATTTATAATATCCTAAAAGTCTTATGTTATACGTCTATAGTTCATTTGAGTTTTGTTAGATCACTAAGTTTAGAAGAATTAAAGACTTTTATAATGTTAAAAAAACATTATGTGTTTTAACTCTAACCCATCTACTTTAAAAAAAAATTTAGGTATATACCACTGACTGTTAATAATATAATAGTGAAAGAAGGACCAGCCACAAAAGTGAATTTTTCCCTTCGGCCAACCGTAACTCCAGTGATTCATGACACAACTGAGTCTACAGCAACTGCTAGTCCAGTTACTATACTGAATATTCCTTCTGGAACAAAATCCTCCCACCAGCCAATTCAGCCAAAGGACTTTCACCACCACCATTTCCCCGATATGGAAATCTTCTTGAGAAGGTTTGCTAATGAATATCCTAACATCACCCGGCTTTATTCATTGGGAAAATCAGTAGAGTCAAGAGAACTTTATGTAATGGAGATATCTGACAATCCAGGAGTCCATGAACCAGGTAATTGATACTGCGCCTTGCAGTACTACCATCCAGAGTTGTATACCATATACAACTATATTTCATCTCAAAAGGTCACCTATAATGTGTATAACTAGAACAAACACCCCCCCACCCAGCATTTTTCAGGAAAGGGGAAAATATTAATTTGATAATCCATTTTAAGCATGGTGTGTAACACATTGCATAGATTAGATTCTCTCTGCTAATAGTTGTCTTATTTTCATGTAATAATCATGTACATCTGTATGCCTACTCAGACGTTTATTTTAGTAAGGATGCTGCTTTATAAGATGTTACCCCAGAAACTTTTGATAAAAATAGTTTTTTTTTTCTTAAATCTTTTGTTCAGGGCATAAACATATGTTGGGGAAAAAACAGAGCCTGTGATAGCTGTAAAGGAAAAAAAACTCTTCCATGCTAATATTTTGTTTCCAGGTGAACCTGAATTTAAGTATATTGGAAATATGCATGGAAATGAAGTGGTTGGAAGAGAATTGCTGTTAAACCTCATAGAATATCTTTGTAAGAACTTTGGAACAGACCCTGAAGTAACAGATTTGGTTCGTAGCACTAGAATTCACCTTATGCCGTCCATGAATCCTGATGGGTATGAAAAGGCCCAGGAAGGTAAACAATAACTGTCTATTAATGCTTAATCTCTTTGTAGTGTCAGATGGCATGATTCTTTTTTGAAGATAGAAGAGAATTATTTCCTTGGAGTTTTTAATTCTACTTTTTTCTCATAATTTGTGATTTGTTCTAGCTTTTGTTAGATTAGTTCATTCAATAATAATGTGATCATGTTTATATTTAATGGAGTTTTCCACTTTCATAATGGTTTTTATTTGCTAAAAGTAATTTGTTTCACACATTATTCTATTTTAAATTGTAATTCTTATAAATTAATTACTAGTATATTAAATTACTTAGAGATAATTCTCCTAAGGATGAATTTAATCTCATAAATGAAAAACTAAAACCAAGTAATATTGAAGCCAATAACTATTTGACTTTCAGTTTGTTCTTCATATATTCTAAACCTGTTAAGTTTTTGATTCCCTGTCTGTCTGCCTCCTCTGGGAAAGCCTGTTTTTCCTGGGTGATGGGAGAGTGGAGGCAGGAAGAGCAACAGCAGGTCACCTTATGCCAGAATCCTTACAGAGAATCAGTCTTTTCTACTCCTTGATTCTTCCAGGCATTGGTGGCAGCAAGTACAATAGGTCCCATAATGCAGACTACCCACCGAAAGAACCCACTAATGAATGATCAGGTTAATCTATTTGCACATGTTAGAATATTTCCCTTTAGATTTTATTTTTGGTTACCTTAACAAATCCTATCCCACATTCTTTCAGAGACCTTCCTAAAAGACTATTTACTTCTAGTGAAGTGAGTATAGTTTTTCTTCATTCCTGCAATTTTATCTCATACAATGAACCCTCATAGGCTTCTTCTCCATATTAAAATGGAGTAAGTTTAAGATGCACTCTTCCTTCTCCATCTGGTTAAACTTCCAGTTTATGTTTTGATTAACTAATTTTTTGACATCATGTTAATCTTAGTGTACTACAATTTCCATTTCATCTTTTTTTTTTATGACATATTAGCGGCCTGTATACTACCACAATAGAGTTCTGTTCAGATCAGTAATGCCCACTCAGCATTGTGATTACGTCATTATATGTGGATTCTTGACAACTAAGATATGCTTTAATATAATTTGGATATTTGAAAAATTTCCCCCTAATAAGGGCAGAAACAAAGAGAAAATAATTTTATCTCTGTTCAAAAGGTATCAGGACTGAGGAGATATATTAACGTGTTAGAATGCATGCCTTGTGTGTGGAGGTCCTGAATTTGGTCCCAGGCACTTTGTAGTTCCCTGACCACCACTGAGTATGTCTCTGGTGACTCCTAAGCACCATTAAAATGAACACATTGGACCCAGACAATTGGACTGAATATTGTTGAAGTGGTCATGGGGCCCCTGAAGATCTGAGAATCGCCTATTTCCCCAAAATTTTTTAGAAAATATACATTTTTAGGGGCTGAAGCAATAATAATAAGCAGATAAGGTGCTTGTCTTGCACTTGACCAACCTGAGTTTGATCCCCGGCATCCTATATGGGCCCCCAAGCACCATCAGAAGTAATTTCTGAGTACAAAGCCAGGAGTAACCCCTGAGCATTAAACAGAAAGATACATTTTAAAGTACTCAGTGTCAAAAAGATGTGTTTTAATCATGTAATGATCAGAGAATTAATACAGGAGTTAAGGTATTTGGTTTGCATTCTATTGACCAAATTTGAATCCCTTGTACCACACATGGTCCACGAAGAACCAGTAGGCATCACTCCTGAACACAATGCCAGGAAAAGCTCCTGAGCACTACTGGGTGTGGCCCAACCCCCACCCCCACCCCCATTCAAAACTTAATCATGTGATTGATCATAGTGAAGCCTGGTGTATTAACCTTTGAGTTGAGATATTTGAAGTGGTATTTTGGATTAAAATATGAGTACAACATTTTAGAATCTTTTATCGTACAGGGGATTCATCAAGTGTAATTGGCAGAAACAACAGCAACAACTTTGACCTGAACCGAAATTTCCCTGACCAGTTCATTCAGATCACAGATCCTACCCAACCAGAAACTATTGCTGTTATGAGCTGGATGAAGTCTTTTCCATTTGTATTGTCAGCAAACCTTCATGGAGGTAATAGCAACTTGATTTGCCACTAATCAATTCTTACTGAGAGCATTTGAAGATTCTGGTGCAATTTTGTGCTCCTGGCTTTAAGTTTTCTTAAAATTGTTATCTTTTTATTGCTTTCATGGCAGACAAATATTTTCTCATGGCTTTTAGATAATTTTTCTACCTTTTCTACCCTATGCTGTTTCCCTGTGCTCTATGACACTTACTTTCTCTCTCTCTCTCTCTTTCTCTCTCTCTCTCTCTCACTCTCTGTCTCTCCTCTCTCTCTGACTTTTATTTATTCAAGTATTTTATATGGGTCTTTCTTTGTTTTGCTTTTTCGGTTACACCCTGCAATGCTCAGGGGTTACTCCTGGCTCTGCACTAAGGAATTACTCCTGCAGTGCTCGAGGGACCATATGGGATGCTGGGAATCGAATCCGGGTCAGCTGCGTGCAAGGCAAATGCCCTACCCTCTGTACTATTGCTCCAGCCCCTATATTTGTATCTTTGACTTGGAATTTGATGTCTTCCTTTTCACTCATAAAAATTCAACATTAACAGATCCAAATGTTGAGTATTATTTTTTTGCTAATAGTTTACCAAAATCTTCTGTTTAGATTTTAAAATTTATAATCTTTTTTTGCTATATATTTAAAAGCAGCACAGTGTCTTTATTCTCATCTACTTTTGAAATTACATAACTACATTGTTCACTAAGAAAGAATAGTTGAACAGACTGTGAGGGCAGAATTAAGAATCATCAGAGTCCAACACAATGCTAATGTGAATAAGAGTGAAGATGTCAATATTCAAGGGAACAGAGAACGTATCTACTTGTAAACCTTCATATGAGTATTCATAGTAGCACTATTCATCCTAGCCAAAAATATATACAACCCAAATGTTCATCTACTGAAGGCAAATAAATAAAATATGATCTAGCTATATAATGGGATATTACTTATAAAGAAGAATGAAGTCCTAATGCATGCTGTAACATAGATGAACCTTGGAAATATTATGCCAAGTGATAGAATCTAGTGACAAGAGATCATATATGATGGAGTTATATGAAATGTTCAGAATAATTAAATCTATACAGTAAATTAATATATGTCTTGAACTGGAAAGGAGAGAGGTGTGAATAAATAGGGGTGGATGTCTGTGGGGAAGGAATTTCGTGTTAATCTTTGTTGGATTGTTCATATGAAATATCAGAGTTAAAATATGATAATCTCTGTTTAAGAAGAATAGTACAAATTTAGGAATGTTTACATTTAAGAAGTAAATTGAGGACTGGAGAACTAGTACAGCAGATAGGGTGCTTGCCTTGCATGCATGACCTGAGTTCAATCCCTGGCACTACATTTTTTCCTCGAGCACTGACAGATGTGATCCCTGAGCTCAGAGCCAGTAGCTTCGAGCACTGCCGGGTATTGCTCCCAAACCCACCCCCCCCACCACCACCAAAAAAGAAGTAAATTGAGATTATCCAAAAATTGCTCTGAAAACTTTCCAATGTAGAAAAAATATTTCTATGATTATGGATGATTCTCAAAGATACAAATAGGAATGATGAGTTTACAACTTGGTAATCTTTAAGTTTCTTTTAAAATATTTTTGTATTTTGTATAATACTTGATAACATTGCTTTTAGCTTTAAAAATTATTCTTATGGACTCTGAGCATAGATGGGTGTTTCCCAGCCCCTCTCCCCCCGCCCCCAAATATTGCAAAATTATATTCAGAACAAGTCATATGTCAAATTGTCTAAATCTGGAAATTTACTACTATTTCTATTTCAGTTAAAATAATTTTGAGATGTTCACCTGTGGTATCAAGACTTTGGCATGATGGGGGAACAGGCATCTTTAATAGTATAAATTCATTTCTTTTCATAGCATAATTTGGTTTTCTCCTTCATCCAAAAGCATTTAAATAAGTTTTGAAACCTTGGCCAAAAAAAAAAAAAAAACTTTAGAGGAGCTTATCTTTGCCTTCACCGGTTTAGAATTTTGAAAGACTATGGAGAAATGCATGATAACCTTTTTTATAAATTTTGGCACTGTTTATTTTGGGGTGAAATTTTATAAGCTAATCATTTTAATGAAGCATTCAATGATGTTTAATGTGTTTCTAGTGTTGTACAACCACCATTTCCACCAAGTTCCAAAACATTTTTTCTCTCCACAAAGAAAATTATTAACCTATTAAGCATTTGTTCCTTTTTCCCCATTCTTCTGATCCCCTCTTCCATAAGCTGTATTTTAATTTTCTTCATCCTCTCCTCTGATATACAAGTTTTAAAAATTAATGAAATTAAATGTAATATGTATTTTTCTTTTGCTGCTTGTGTTTTTTGTGTCAAAGCTAGTCAGAGACGTTAATGCCTTTTTTTCCCCGGTAAAGCAAAATAGTTTTTATTGACACTTACATAGAAAGATGTGAGGGGAGAGAATGAGAGAGGTATGTGTTCAAGAGAGCGTAAAGGGCTCCTCCAGAGTGTAAGCAAAGCAAAGAAATAAGCAAGCAAAGAAATACAGAGACCAGCAAATGAGAAACTTGTTCAAGGAGAGCACAAGCTTGAAAAGCAAACTGATGCTATTTATTTTCTTATCAAAATTTTAGATGTGAGTCATAGATCCCAGGTGAAATGATTTTTTTTAAATTAAATAGTCTAAAATGAGGTGTTACAGCACCCTTATTCTTGTTAGAACTATTCTGGGGAAATAGTTCTTCATACTTGTTTCTTAAAGATAACATTTTTTTTATAAAGCAAATACTTGCCACTTCTTGTTATCACAGGATTCTTTCATCTGAATTCAAGTGTAATTCCTTCATCTGAATGACCACAAATTGTTATGATAAAAAGTGGCTAAGATGGAAGGCTAAGAAAAAATGTACAGGTAGACAAATGTAAACAAGGTAGCAGGAAAATAAAAGATTTGATTACATGGTGGTGAAATGAGCCTGTGTAGCTAAGGGCTTTTGCCTAGAAAACCCTCTGTTGTGTACCCAATGGGAATCATAAAGACGAAGGGTATTCTTCACATTCGTTTTAAAGCCTCTCTCTTTTTAGTTAAGGTCGTGGAAAGTAAAGTAACTCCAGTTGATTGATTTCTAATACAAGCACAAGAAATCTTTATTTCTATGTTTATGCCTATTATTTTCTTACATCTAGGGGGACTTTTCTAGGGATGCGCAGGGTCTACTAGGATTACCCCTAGCCATACCTTTGGGGAAGGCAAATGTGGTGCTAGGAATAGAGTTTAAGGCCTCATGCTAGGCATGTACTCCTTGGAGCTATCACTCCAGTCCCCAATATTTTACTTTTCTGTGTGGTGTGGTGTGGTGGGGGGGGTTCTGGAATGGAAGCCAGGGCTTTATATATGCAAAGCATTGTATAAAGCACTTAGTTACATCACTAGACTCGAGAAATTTTTAGAGTGTGTGTGTGTGTGTGTGTGTGTGTGTGTGTGTGTGTGTGTGCTTCTGAAAGTAACTCAGGACTGACTCTGCTGTCTGTTTCAGATCCTACACGCAAAGAGAATGGGTTAATTGGACTTTTAAGAGTCCTTATTAGCTGGCCCGGTTAGGTCACCAGCACTGCCTAGAGCCCCCTGAGCACCTTAGCACCACCAGGAGTGATCCTTTGCATGGAATCAGAAGCAGCCACTGGCCACTGCTGACTGAGGCAGACCCCTTCCCTCCACCACCCCCACCATGACCTTAAGAATGTTGAATTTTATTGAAAAAGTATCAAACTTTGTTCAGTTTTTCTAATCCTACATGTTAGAAAAGTAAAAACTGTTTCCAGGATGCCAGTGTGCTTCTGGTTTCAGTCTGACATGTAAATTACACCTTTAAATTCAGGTAAATTCCCAAGAGCTCTCCATGTAAGACACCCTTTAAGTACTCTGCATTCCTTTGTATTCTCACTTAATGTATCCACTTTGATTTTCTGTGGTAAAAATTAGCCTTAGGGAGTCAGAGCTCTGATACAGCCTGTAGAGCACTTACATTGCATAGGTTGATCTGGGTTCAATTCCCAGCCCCATGGGCACCACCAGGAATTAAGCCCAGACCACCACCATGTATGGTCCCAAAACAAAAGAAACAAAAAAGATTTTTAAAAATTAACCTTGGGAATTAGCCTTGGGAAGCAGGATAGTCGGGACAGGTAATGAGAAGGCAGACTGATAGCAAAAGTACACTTATTAAAGGTCTTCGACATTTGTGTGATGTAGAGGTGAGGAAGTTATGTACATCAAAACCACAAGAGTGAACAGAAGTTGGGCCCAAAGAGGTAGTATAGTAGGCAGGGTGCTTGCCTTGCATGTGGCTGACCTGACCTAGATTTGAGCCCTGGCACCTCATATGGTTCCCTAAGCTCCACGGGTATGGGGTTCAGATTCCTGAGCTCAGAACCAGGAGTAAGCCCTGAGCATCTCCAGGTGTGTCCTAAGAACAAAATAAATAGTGAACACAGTGTAAGCATGTAACCCAAACTATAATAAGTAAAAAAAAAAATTCTCATTTTTTCTTTTCAGAAATGTTTGAGACATCATGATTTTGATTTAAGTTAAATTTTTTTTAAATTTATTTATTGAATCACTGTGGGAAAGGTTACAAAGCTTTCAGGTTTATGTCTCAGTAATGCAAATATCAAACACATTTCCCTTTACCAATACTTATTTTTTACCATGAAGAACCCCAATAAAACCCCACCCCCCACCCCTCCCCGTCCCTGTGAGGCAGATGAATTCTAGTTAACACTCTATCTGCTTTGATTAGATTCATGGTTTCAATAAAAGATTCACCACTATTATTTAGAGTTTACCCCCCCCCCCCCCAAATCAGACATGCTGAAAAAGCATTGTGAAGTGATTTGCTTTCTACAGCTGGGTTAAAGAATTAAATGTTGGTTTTGGATTTCTGCTATTTTACCTATTGACCCTGGAAGTATTTCTACTGAAAGTCAGATAGTTAAGAAACTGGTTTCTGTGTTCTGGAGTCGTGGCCGTGCTGGAGAGCCGCTCGCGGGGGGCAACCGGTGGCCTCGGTAGGGCGTGAAGGGCGGAGCGAAACGCCCCCCCTCCCATGAGGTTTTAGTCGCCCCCACACTCCCGGCTCATACCTGCTGTCCACAAGGCTCCCATGTGGCCGCCATCTCTCTTTCCAGAGAGGAGAGGGCGAATGGGGCAACACCCTTTCCCCTCCGGCAGACTTGATGGGCTGGATCAACGCATAGTCCGTTCACCTCTCCGCTCCAAGCCGCTGGGCTCTGCATCAAGTCCTTGCGCCTCTGGGGCCATGGCCGCGCTGGAGAGCCGCTCGTGGGGGGCGACTTGTGACCTCGGTAGGGCGTGAAGGACGGACCGGAACGCCCCCCGACCCATGAGGTTTTAGTCGCCCCCACTCCCCCGGCTCATACCTGCTGTCCACAAGGCTCCCATGTGGCCGCCATCTTTCTTTCCAGAGAGGAGAGGGCGAATGGGGCAACACCCTTTCCCCTCCGGCAGACTTGATGGCCTGGATCAATGCATAGTCCGTTCACTTTTCTGCTCCAAGCTGCTGGGTTCTGCATTAAGTCCTTGTGCTTCTGGGGCCGTGGCTGTGCTGGAGAGTCGCTCGTAGGGGGCAACTGGTGACCTCGGTAGGGCGTGAAGGACGGACCGGAACGCCCCCCTTCCCATGAGGTTTTAGTCGCCCCCACACTCCCGGCTCATACCTGCTGTCCACAAGGCTCCCATGTGGCCGCCATCTTTCTTTCCAGAGAGGAGAGGGCGAATGGGGCAACACCCTTTCCCCTCCGGCAGACTTGATGGCCTGGATTAACGCATAGTCCATTCACTTTTCTGCTCCAAGCTGCTGGGTTCTGCATTAAGTCCTTGTGCTTCTGGGGCTGTGGCTGTGCTGTAGAGCCGCTCGTGGGGGGCGACTGGTGACCTCGGTAGGGCGTGAAGGACGGACCGGAACGCCCCCCTTCCCATGAGAGTTTAGTCGCCCCCACACCCCCGGCTCATACCTGCTGTCCACAAGGCTCCCATAAATTTTTTTTTAATGTTATCAACAACTTTGTAAATCATGGTAAATAAAGTTAGTTCATTAAAAGAAATTAGCCTTGGGGAGATCGTTTCAGTTTCATGTCTCTGGCAATGCTGTGAAAGCTCTAATGATTCATCTTGAGGCAAATAACATGCTACCCATTTTTCTTTTCTTTATAGGTTCTTTGGTTGTCAATTACCCTTTTGATGATGATGAACAGGGGATTGCCACATACAGCAAATCACCAGATGATGCTATATTCCAACAGATAGCACTTTCTTATTCCAAGGTAGGCTTGTGTTTAAATATAAGATACTGTAAAATTACTTCTTTCATTAAAAAGAAATGCACTAAAACTATTAGTTATTTAATATCTTGGTATATGATTTTAAACTTCTTGTTTGTTTATATATGTACCTCTACTCAACACCTACATCCTCATACCTGGATGTCTTAAAGTTATCAAATTGTTTACTTGAAAGTTTTTAATAGGTTTTAAATATTATCAGAGTACAGAGGATTAAAGGAGATGGTACAGTGCACATGGTAAGATAAGATTGCCACAATCTACCATGGTACAGTGTTCATGGTAAGATTTTTATAATTAATTTAATGTAAATGGCACTGCCCTCCATCAGTTTGCTCAAGTGGGCCCAGTAACGTCTGCATTGTAGACTTGTTACTGTGTTTGGCATATCAAATATATCACGGGGAGCTTTCCAGGCTTTGCCATGAGGGCAAGATACTCTTGGTAGCTTGCCGGGCTCTCTGAGAGGGGCTGAGGAATTGAACTCGGGTCAGCTGGGTCGGCCACGTGCAAGTCAAACGCCCTACCCGCTATAACATGATAAGATTGCCACAATCTCCAGGAGCTCATCATCTCTCAACTAGGTATTTTTAGTAACATTCAAAGGAGTGTCCTGGCTTTGGCCCATTTTTCACCTGATTATTAGAATGAACAATGAATATATCTTCTATCATGTTTTCTTCAGATATCTTCATTGGTTTCTTAGTGCTCTTGAGTCAAAGTGTAATAGCTATTGTGTAGAACTTTGGAGTCTTTCATTGGATTCGTACTAGATGGTCCATTTAGATGTAGGAAAATGTAGTAGAAATTATATTTAAATGTTTTTAAAATAAAGTAAAATGTTTATTTTATACTTTAAGCTTATAAAATGTTTTGCAACTTTGTGATATATACTTTTAGTATTCTAGAGCATTAGTATATATAATGTATTTTATATATAACTAAGTGGATAGAGGTATTGATAGGAATAGAGATGGAGATATAAGACATGCAGCTCTTGAGTGGAAAAAAGCAGAAAGCAAAAGAGTATATATGCAGTTTTTTTTCTAATTAAATCACCACAGCCACAGTTACAAAACTTTCATGTTTGAGTTTCAGTCATACAGTGATCAAACACCCATCCCTCCACCAGTGTACATTTTCCACCACCAAAGTCCCCAATATCCCTCCCCTTCCTCTACCCCATCCAACCCATTTTCCTGCCTCTATGGGAGGCAATTTCTCTCTTTCTCTCAAATTATGGGCGTTATGGTTTGTATGCAGTTATTTTAATAGAATAAATTACTTTCCTTGTGATGAGAGAGTGGTTGATTTTTTTTTTGAGTGGTGAATATTTTAAATTTATGAAAATAGTTGTTTATATGTATTTTAATTAACAGGTTCTCAGTGGTGAAAAATGTGAAATTGCTGTTTTTCTCTTTAAATTATTATTGTTTATTGCTATTTTTGGTATTTCACCTCTGTTTACAAAAAAAAGAGCAATGCTATTTTAACTGTATTTTATAGCTCTACTTATTTATGATTTGGGGGCATACCCAGCAGTGCTCAGTCCTTACTTCTGGTTCTGTGCTCAGGGGGACCATATGTAGTGCTGGAGATCAACCGGGATTATCTGTGTCTAGGGCAAGCGCCTTAATCCCTAAACTATCTCTCAAGTCCCTCAAAGCTTAATTTTTTTAAAAGAAATTTCCCCTGATGATGTACTAAGAAGTAATCCTCCTACAATTCTAATAGGATGTATTTGTGCCTCCCTTGGCAGTTTTTTTTTTTTATCTCCCTTGAGATACGTTTTAGACACATGCTGTAGACACAGCTTGTTATGAGAAGTAGTGCATTGTTCTTAGAAAAAAAAGAATACAGCCAACTGTAGCAAGATAACTGGACAATGAGATGAGAGCCCACAGGGACAATCTGTGTCCCACTGAAATCAGAGAACAAAGTGTTTACTCCACACTGAAGCACTGTGTTCCCGTTGCTCATCAATTTGCTTGAGCGGGCACCAGTAATGTCTCCATTGTGAGACTTGTTACTGTTTTTGGCATAACGAATACACCACGGGGAGTTTGCCAGGCTCTGCCATGAGGGCAGGATACTCTTGATAGCTTGCCGGGCTCTCCGAGAGGGATGGAGGAATCGAACCCAGGTCAGCTGCCAGCAAGGCAAACGCCCTACCCACTGTGCTATCGCTCCAGCCCTCCACACTGTATGCAAATTATCCTCCACACTGTATGCAAATTATATATTTTTTACTTTAAAGTTAAACATACACAATGAAATAGGAAGGTGAACATTTCTGAAAATGGTTTTTATCGTTACGAATGATATATGAAGGCTTCAATATTTTCTTTACAGAGCATATTTAATTTTGATTTAAAAGTAGATAATAGGGGCTGGAGCAGTAGCATAGCGGGTAGGGCATTTGCCTTGCACACGGCCGACCTGGGTTCGATTCCCAGCATCCCATATGGTTCCCCGAGCACCGCCAGGAGTGATTTCTGAGTGCAAAGTCAGGAGTAACCGCTAAGCATCACCAGGTGTGACCCAAAAAGCAAAAAAAAAAAAGTAGATAATAAATTCTAAAATAATAATTCACGGGGGTGTGGTCCCACCAGCAGGTCAATCTGTACCTATGAGGCGAGTGCATCAGCAGCCTGATGGCACCTTCAGACTTCCAGATACCCCAAAATTGCTGCTGTACCTTTGGCCAGACCCCAAAAACTTGGGGCAAAATTTACCAAAAAGTAAACGGCCAAAAGTTAGGTATGTGAGAGACACACCCACAAACCACCTCCGACTCAGCTATATAATTGGAGGCATGACCTCTCTGATTCCTGATCAAACTGCGTAAGGGCCATGATCCAAGAGACTCAGAAGCAAATCTCAGTACCCAACGGCTTTTGGCAGAAATGCGTCTGGTCCCTGCAGTAGGTTACCAGAGCTGGGCCATCTAAGTTGGGAATAGGTTTTGTGCCTTGGCCTGTTCCCCCTGGCGGCCTGGTGGCCACCATCCTCTAGAGGCCACTGGACAGTCAGGTTTGGGTCCACAGTGACAATACACGTGGGGCCTCACGGGATGGGGGTGGAGCCGGCCCTTTCCTCCCCATCCCAACGAGACCCCTAGTCGCCACCCACAAACAGCCTCTCTGGCTCCTGATCAAGCTACTAAATGGCCACAATCCCAGAGACTCAGAAACAGATCTCGAAACCCAGCATCTTTTGGCAGAAATGCGTCTGGAGTGCACAGTAGGTTGCTGTCGCCAGGCCACCCCAGGGGGAAAAGGGTGCTGTCCCTCCGCCTGTTCCCCCTAGGCGACTCGGTGGCTGCCATCTTCTAGAGGCCATTGGACAGTCAGGTTTGGGCCCGCAGTGATGAGACACGCGGGCCCTCCCGGGATGGGGGTGGAGCCGCCCTTTCCTCCCCGCCCCAATAAGATCCCGAGTCACTGCCCACAATGGCCTCTCTGGCTCCTGATCAAGCCACTTAATGGCCATGATCCCAAAGACTCAGAAACACATCTCGAAACCCAATGGCTTTTGGCAGAAATGCATCCGGTCCCTGCAGTAGGTTACTGGCACTGGGCCACCCTAGGTGGGAATAGGTTTTGTGCCTTGGCCTGATCCCCCTGGTGGCCCGGTGGCCACCATCCTCTAGAGGCCACTGGACAGTGAGGTTTGGGCCCTCAGTGATGAGACACATAGGGCCTCATGGACTGGGGGTGTAGCTGGCCCTTTCCTCCCCATCCCAACAAGACCCCGAGTCGCCGCCCACAAACAGCCTGTCTGTTTCCTGATCAAGCTACTTAACGGCCATGATCCCAGAGACTCAGAAACAAATCTCGAAACCCAACAGCTTTTGTCAGAAATGCGTCCGGACTGTGCAGTAGGTTACTGTCACCGGGCCACCCCAGGGAGGAAAGGGTGCTGTCCCTCTGCCTACTCCCCCTTGGCGGCTTGGTGGCCGCCATCTGCCAGAGACGACTGGACAGTTAGGTTTGGGCCTGCAGTGACGAGACATATGGGGCCTCATGGGATGGGGGTGGAGCCGACCCTTTCCTCCCTGTCCCAACAAGACCCCAAGTCACCGCCCACAAACGACCTCTCTGGCTCCTGATCAAGCTACTTATCGGCCATGATCCTAGAGACTCAGGAACAAATCTCGGAACCCAGCAGGTTTTGGAAAGGAATCCCTCCAGATTTAATTGTTTAAATTTAAAATCATGTGGCCACTACTCTGCAGCCACGTGACATCATATGTTATTCATAACCAGCAATAGAAAACAAATTGTCTACTGTTGCCTTTTGGGCAGTTCTGAGTGTTGGGGTAAAATCCCAAATAATAATGGTGGGTCTAGTGTCAAAATATTGAATGTAATCAAAGTAGAGGGAGAGTAATTTGGAAATCATCTGCCCCACAGGTAGGGGGAAGGTGTGGGATGGGCCATACTGGGGTTTTTGGTGGTGAAGAATGGGCACTGGTGAAGGTACGGGTGTTTCATTGTATGACTGAGACTTAAACCTGAAAGCTTTGTAACGGCTGTCACGGTGATTCAATAAATAAAATTATAAAAAATGGAAAAAAATAATAACTCAAAATGTGGGATAAGAATGTAGCTTATGTGTGGAAAGGCCTATGTTTGATCCCTACTAACTAAATAAATAAATAAACCTGCATAGAAAATTATTCTTCAAGAGTCTTGCTTCGCATGAATGCATCCACCTCACTGCCTCCATTTTACAATCCTATTGATAGGCACTCTTATTATTTTTCCTTATCCTTTCTATATTTTCTAATGCAGATACAAATCAATGCAAGTAATTTTTTTTTTTCAGGAAAATTCCCAGATGTACCAAGGTAGACCCTGCAAAAATATGTATCCTAATGAATATTTTCCTCATGGGATAACAAATGGAGCTAATTGGTATAGTGTCCCAGGTAAATATTGGTTTTGGTTTTGGTTTGGGGCTACAACAGGTGGTATTTAGAACTTACTCCTGGCTCTGCACTCAGGGATCACTTCTGGCAGTGCTTTGGGGACCATATATAATGCTAGAACCAACCTTATAAACACTTTTTTAATCAAGAACAAATTGATGGATTTTTCTGCCCTCCTGGCTGGCATATTGCTTGTTACTAATTTTTTTTAGACAGAATTATTCTTTAAAAATATTAAGTCATTTAAAACATTAATACCTCTATGCTCTGTGCACTTTGATTAGTAAAAATCATAAACTCAAATGTGATGAAAGTATTGTATCTGACTTCAGATGTACTAATAGGAAAAATGTAAGTTATACTTGCATTGGTTCTGGTTCTTTTTTGGTTTTGGGGCCACATCCAACGGTGTTCAGCTCGTATTTCTAGCTCTGTTCTCAGAGATCTCTCCTACCAGGACTTGCGGGACCATGATGGGTGCTGAGTATTAAGCCCAGTTCAGCCACATACAAGGCAAGCACCCTACCTGCTGTACTACCTCTCTGGCCCTTTTATTATTTTCTTGAACAGGAAAATATATTTAGGTATTTTGTCTGTATCATGAGCATCAAAGAGCTCTCATACTAATTGTTTTCCAAGTAATACTGAGAAAAGATAAATTTGGCTTTTTGTTAGCTTTTGGGATCTGGGCTAGTTAGAACTTCTGACTGATTTTAATTACTTTATCTTTTAGGTGGTATGCAAGACTGGAACTATTTACAAACAAATTGCTTCGAAGTAACTATTGAACTGGGTTGTGTAAAATACCCAGTTGAGAAAGATCTGCCAAAATTTTGGGAACAAAATCGAAGATCTCTGCTCCAGTTTATGAAGCAGGTACTGTTGAGGAGTGAATGAAATGTGATATTTCTTCTAGGATCAGGATTTTTGTGTGCATTAGATTTTTAGTGGGATTTTAGAATACACTCCTGAATTTTAATTTGGGCTATTAATGTTTTAGTATATTTATTTACTATTAAAACTTATGGATGAAATGAGTTTACTTCAATGTATGGGAAAGAGTTGGAAATGACTGAACAATGTACCAATGTTTTCTGAATGCTTAGTCATCACATTTTGCCCTATCTTTATAAAAGGATAATGTAAATTGGAAACATACTGTAGCATTTGTCAAGTAATAGATGAACTATAGAATAAGTTTTTTTCTTTTATAGTGGTTAAATGTGAAATGATTAATTTCCTTTAGTTGAGTGTACATGGTAACCAATCACTAGACAATAAGAAATATGCCAATATGATGATTATAAGAGTACAAGAAATAAGCTAATGAGCATAGCTAATATGGTTAATAGAATAGTCTAAAACTTTGTATCAAAATTTATTTTCTCTATTCATTTTTACTGAGTGAAATGACATAAGCCAGTAAGTTTTTAGACTAATTAAAATTGTTTTTATCCCTAAAAAATTTAGTTTGTAGGAAAAAATATATACTATTCTTTGCCTATATTTAACAGTTTTTTAAATTTTGCTGAATTGCTTTATTTATATGAATTATAGATGCATGCACCTTTTTCACTAAACTATTTTAATATAAATTCCAGGTGTCAGTGTATATACCCCCAAATATTTTAGAATGCATCTTCTGAAAAAAAGAATATTTGGGGGCTGGAGATATAGCACAGCGAACAGGGCACTTGCCTTGCACATGGCCAACCCAGGTTCAATCCCTAGCATTCCCTTTGATCCCCTGAACACCACCGTGAGTAATTCCTAAGTGCAGTCAGGAACTACCCAAAATTTTCTACATGTCATATCCAGATCTCATCTAAGAAAATTAATGGTAATTTGCTGATATTCCCTAGCATCTAGAACATAGTCAAATTTCTTCCTATGACAAGGCTGAAATAGGATCTTCCTGGTGGAGGAGATGGAACCCTGGTACTATTCCAAGGCTGTTCACATTCTTCACCCTGCTTAGTAGCAGGTAATGTGCTTCACCTTTTGACCCCAAGCACAGAGCCCAAGCTCTGGTTGCAAGACAGTATCTCTGTGTCCTTATATTTTGGTCTCTGACTCTTTAAAACTTCACACAACATTAAAATTCTTGAATTTAAAAAACTACTATAAAATCCAGCTCCCGGAACCGCGCGGCCGCAAATGCGGCCGCACGACATCTTATCAGGACATCTTTTATGACATCTTATTATCTCATTCCTACTTTGGACAAACTTGCAGGCTATCGAATGTAGCCTGCACACAGGGCAGAGTCTGGCAAACTCCCCGTGGCATACCAAATATGCCAAATACCAGTAACAATGATGGGTCTCATTCTCCTAAAGAGCCTTGAATATAATCTCAGGGCTAGGATGAAAGAGACGTTACTGGGGCCTGCTTGAGGCAATCGACGAATAACAGGATGATGAATGGAAAAAAAAAAAAAGGAAACAACACTCATGGTGGAATTGGTGTTGAAATACTGTATGCCTAAAACCCAATTAACAATAACTTTGTAAATCACAGTTTTTTAATTAAAAAACAAAAACAATTCCATCATGTTCACAGTTCCCCAAGTCTTACCAGGAGGGAACCCTGAACAGAGAGCCAGGACTAAGACCAGAGCACTGTTGGATGTAGCCCCAAAATCAAAAAGAAGAAAACAATTCGAATAATAACTTACCCCTTTCCTATTAGTATAGTTGAAGCCAAATATAATACTTTCATCAAATTTGAGTTCATGGTTTTTACTAATCAAAGGGCACAAAGCATAGGGTTAAAAGTAATGACTTAATATTTGAAAGAGTGATTCTGTCTCAAATTACTTCCCTTCTGTCCCCAAAATATTCTTCAGATAGCTCTGATTTAGAACCAGAACCTAGTCAAGACTCCATGCATTGCATTAAAAAATATAGTCCTTTACTCTCTTTAATCTGGAATATTCCATTTTTGTTTGGTTGGTTTGGGTTTGGGTTTGGGTTTGGGTTTGGGTTTGGGTTTGGGGCCATACCTGGCATTGCTCAGGCCTTATTCCTGGCTCTGCTCTCAGGATCACTCCTGGCAGGCTTCAGGGACCATATGGGGTGCCTTTCCTGCCCCAGTCCTTCTGTTTTTATTTAAATGACATTTCCTATTAAAAGAAGCCATGACAGTTTTCTTGTAAAATGTTCTATAATCTGAATGTCAAATGTGCTAAAGTTTAAACAGTGTTATTTATATTCTTTATGATAAAGATAAATGTCTCCTTTGAAAACTAGCCTTTTGGAAACTAAAATATTTGTTTTGTGGACATATTTACTTAGCTAGTCTCTTAGCTTCAGGATTTCTGTTCCATATATTTACCTCATTGACAATCTTTGGGTTAGAACATCTAAAATAATTAAATGAGCTTTACCATTGAAATCTGGGTGCCCTTGTACTTTGTCCAGGTTCATCAAGGCGTGAAAGGGTTTGTCCTGGATGCCACAGATGGCAGGGGTATACTAAATGCCACCATTAGTGTTGCAGAAATAAACCACCCAGTGACAACTTACAAAGCAGGAGATTACTGGCGTCTTTTGGTTCCAGGAACTTATAAAATCACAGCATCTGCTCGGGGGTGAGTTAATGAGTGCACCAAAATCACATGCTAGTAATAAGATAAGTGTAGTTCATTCTGGAAGATGATTGTCAGAAAGTCCTACAGAGCTGCTAAGCAATCTTGGATTGAATGCTTGAAACACATTCGACCCTCCCTTAGTGGCCTATGAGCATATGAATTTTCAGATGGAAGAAATCTAAAGTTTGTAATTTGGCGTGGCCTCTTTTACCCTTTTTCTCCCAGGTTCCCTGCCAAAAATAAAGGTCATAGCCGCCTGTATCATTTCCTTATAAATAGTAACAATTCTTGGAAGTCTCTGTTTGAAACAAAGGCTCCTAGTTTGAGTATTTCTAGTCAAATTGTCCCATAAACACCATTTCACGAATATACCCTTTTTCAGCCCTCGTTCACAAACTTATTCACAAACACTGATTTTTTAGTATCTTGTTTGCCTTGTCACTTCAGTGAAATATTTGTTTCTGTTTCTAATTCTTTAAGTCCATTTTTATTGAAAAAAAAGTTTTATAGGGGCTAAATAAAGTGAGTAGAGCACTTGCCTTGCATACAGCTGACCTGGGTTTGATCCCTGGCACCATACATGGTCCCATGAGCCCCCCAGGAATAATCCCTTAGTGCAGATCCAGGAGTAAGTACTGAGCATTTCTGGGTATGGCTCAAAACCAAAATAAATCAATAAAACAAATTTTATTTTCACAAGAATTTTTTTTTACTTATTAAAAAATTAACTTTCCCTTAGGAGAAGAGTTTATCTCTCCCCATTTGCAGAACGCTGAGTGTATAATCTGGAGCTCATCGTTTCTGCTTCTTTTTTATGTTTTGATGTTTTTTTTTGTTGTTGTTTTGTTTGTTTGTTTTTTAACAGCTTATCCCTTCCCTCCCCCCTTTCACTACTTATTTCTGAAGAGGTAATTTGAATTTATTTAAGGCCAAGTACATGAACAAACTTACTGTGACCTTTTTTGGTGTTATTGTTTTTTTTGGGGGGGGGATAGATAATAAGCTTTTATTATATTGGGTAAATATCGGTACAAATCTCTTTTTTTTTTAATTTTTATTAGTGAAACACCATGAGGTACAGTTGTAGACTTACAAATTTTTGTGCTTGGGTTTCAGTATACAATGATTGAATACCCATCCCTCCACCAGTGCCCGTTCTCCACCACCACTGATCCCAGTATCCCTCCCACCCCCCACCCCCCCAATCCCACCCTGCCTTTGTGGCAGGGCATTCTCTTTTTGTTCTCTCTCTCCTTTTGGGTGCTGTGGTTTGCAAAAGAGGCATTGAGTGGCAATCATGTTCGGTCTATAGACTGTGACCTTTTTTGAAAAGTGATTTTCAAATATTCTGTGGTCCACAGAAAGATGAATCCGAACTTCACACCACTGAATAATGAGGTCTTTGCTGTTTGTCATCAATTTTTTTTAATAGCTTTGTAAGGGGTTATTTCACAGTGATTTGATAAAAAAAAAAAAAGAAACTAAAGAAAAATAAACATTACAATAAATACCCTCATAGTCCATATTTTGTGTTCACTATTACTATGTTTAGATAAATTTCTTATAGTATAGTTTCCAGATCAAAAATGCAGTTTTGTTTTATTTGAATCTGCTATGCATTTTCACTGTAGAAAAGCCAGAACATAAAGTTTTTTTTTTTAAAGTTCATTTCAAGACTATATGTCTTCTATTATTATATCTTGTTTGTCATCAATTTTTGAGGAGTATGAGAAAACCTAGTGCGGCAAGGAATCTGATAGACAGGATAAGAACACATAATAAATTATCATAAAATTTAAAATGTCACTCCAGGAAGTGATACACCACCTATCTCAAGGAGACACACGTCCTCTACATACCTCTCTTTCCCCAGCGCCTGGGATCCCTAACCGAAGTGTGACTAATCTGTCTTTTTTATTACAGATACAATCCAGTTACCAAGAATGTGACTGTCAAGAGTGAAGGTGCTATTCAGGTCAACTTCACACTTGTGCGATCTTCAACAGACTCAAACACCGAATCCAAGAAAGGAAAGGGGGAAAGCACCCACAGTGTTGATGCCAGTGATCCAACTACTAAGGAGTTTGAAACCTTAATAAAAGATCTTTCCGCTGAGAATGGGTTGGAAGCTCTCATGTTACGCTCTTCCTCCAATCTGGCTCTCTACCGATACCATTCGTACAAAGATTTGTCAGAGTTTCTGAGAGGCCTGGTGATGAACTATCCACATATCACAAATCTTACCAAGTAGGTTTCATCTTTTTCACTCTTTTATTTTTTTTTCATGCAAGTTGTACTCAGTTCTAGCTATATTGAATGGTTCTTATCGTATTTAGAAATGCTGGGAATTGAATGTATAGAGACATGAAGTTTATTTTGAAACATCTGCTTATAAATCTAACACTGAATTTTGGAAACTTTCATGAGGGAGAATCATTTGTTAGATGAGCAATGTATGACCCAGGTCTTCATGAAATGTAAAATTATTTGTATGATTTTTCTCGCTGATTTCAGAACTACCCACTCCACTTCTCAGTCGTAAGTTTATATTCTTATTAAATATTACTTTGTTCTGTTTGGATATAAGAGAAGAATTTGAAATGAGGCATTAACCTACAAGATGTTATGTGATCTTTTTCACTAGAAAATGAAATCTGAGGGCCTGGGAGATAGGATAGCAGCTGAGGCTCATGCCTAGCTTGCCTCTGACCAGAGTTCCATTTCCAGCACCACCTGGTTACCCCAAGGCATTGCTGGATGTGTTCCTGGAGGCCTCAGCACTTAACCTTTTAGATAGCAGGGGATTCACAAGCACTGCACTGCAGGACCTGAGAATCTTCACATCCTCTAGCCCTGTATTAAGCTGCCAGCCAGGTTGGCTGAGAATTGCCCCTGGGATTCCCAGGCCTCCTTAGCACTGCTTGGGAGCTCTCAACTCAAAATAAAAGGAGGGAAATGAAACCTGGTTGCTGTCAGTACTCAGCTGTGTATCCGGTCTGTGTTTCATGAAGCCTTAGAAACTGACAAGCTTGATAGTCCAGGGAAAATATGCAATATTGACCGATAGAAAGGTGATGGCTAATACAATCTTTCCCTTCACTTTCTGGGCTCATTTGCCTCCCTTTCACTGTTTCATTTCAACTCCTCTTTTGTTCTTTTACAGTTAAATTATTTGAATCTTTAATTCCTGCTCCTCGAATATTGGTTTATAATGTCCACAAATACAAAGAGTGATATATACCTTGACAATACCCGCTACCTATCTTCCTTGACTGATTTTTTTGTTGTTGCTAATGTTATTTGTCCCCCCAATATGCCGGGGACTATTAGATGCTGGGGATCAAACCCAGGACTCCCATTTTCAAAACTTCCTGTCTACCTGGCTCCCTTAACTAGTTTTCTAGTATTTCTGCCCGTTCATATTTTAGTTTTGTGAATCTTCGTGCAATATAGAGCTTATAGACATGCTTATTTTAAAATAAAACAAATATGAGCATTATTTTGCTATTCGTTTACTTAGTTTTTTACAACCTTCCAATTCACAAGCCAGTTCTTAGTTAAATATTTCTGTCCAAATATGCAACTTCTGAGAAAAAAAGATGGGAAGCTTCTCTCCCCTGGACTTTAAAGCATATTATAAAACTGTAGGAATCAGAACTCTGTGGTACTGGAATAGAGGCAGATTCTCAGACCGGTGAAATAAAAATGAGAGCCCAGAGACACATCCTTAGATACTCTGATATATGGCCAGATAATTTCAACAAAGAAGCTAGGTCCCATGAGGGGAACAAGGAAAACCTCTTCAACAAAAGATGCTGAGAAAAATGATTAGCCAATGCAAAAACAAAAAAAAAAAAATTAAGCTGGATCCTATCTCATACCGTATACAAAAATTAATTCAAAATGGATTAGAGGCCTCAATATTGACCTGAATCTATTTTAAAAATTTGAGATAAACATAGGTAGAACTCTGTAATTGATCCCAAAGATATATTCAGTGAGTCATATCATTAATGAGGAAAGCAGAAGCAAAAATAAACAAATGGGACTACATCAAACTAAAAACTCTCTGCATTGTGGAGAAATGATGACCAGAATAAAAAGACATCCTACTGAGTGAGAGAAAATATTCGCTCATATGTCTGAGAGAGAAATAATATCCAAGATTTATAAAGCACTCAAAAACTTAGGAACAATCAGACAATCTTATCAAAAAGTGGGGAAAGAAACTGAATAGACACTTCAAAGAAGACATACAGGTAGCCAATAGGTACATGAAAGAGTGCTCTTCATCACTTACTTGAGGGAGATGCAGCAACAGTGAGATAGGACGTCACACCATTGAGAATTACCTATATTTTAAAAAGATTGAAAATAAGCAGCGCTGACAGAGATGTGAGGACAAAGGTACCTTCCCCCACTGTTGGTGGGAATGTCATCTGGTTCAGCATATACAGAAAACAGCACGGAGACTTTTTAAAGAACCAAGAATTGAACTTCCGCATGACCCAGAATTACACTTTTTGGCATTTATGCCATGAGCACAAAAACATTCATTCAAAAAGATAAGTTCATTTCAGCACTATCAACACTAGCCAAGATCTGGAAACAACTCAAGTACCCAAGAAAGATGAGTGGATAAAGAAGTTATAGCTGTAAGTGCACAGTGGAATACCACTCAGGTACTAGAAAAGATGAAGGCCTGCATTTTGTGGATGAAACTAGAGGGTATCAGATTGAGCAAAAGTGAGTCAAAGGGGGAAGAACAAATACAAAACCACCTCGTATGTGGAGTATAAAGAAACATAGTAAAGGAATAATAGTGACCAGTGATGACAGACTTTGAAAATCTTCCTATAGAACTGAGTTCACCAAAGGGATGAGATAGGGCCTAGACACAGTGGAGGGATGGCTGTGGTGTAGCAGCTTTGTACTCCTGAAACTAATTTCAGCATTATCAGTAATCACTGTAACATACATGTACATATATAGACTAAATATATATGTGTAGTATATGTATGTGTATACACACATATGTATATGTGTGTATATTTATACATATACATCTATGTGTGTATATGTATGTGTGTATATATATATATATATATATATATATGGGCTGGAGCAATAGCACACTGTATAGGGTTCAGCACAGTTTGCCTTGCATGCAGCCAACCCAGGTTCGATTCCTCCACCCCTCTCGGAGAGCCCGGCAAGCTACCGAGAGTATCCTGCCTACATGGCAGAGGCTGGCAAGCTCCCCGTGACATATTCAATATGCTAAAAACAGTAACAACAAGTCTCACAATGGAGGCGTTACTGGTACCTGCTCGAACAACTCGATGAACAACGGGAGAACAGTGCTACAGTGCTACACATATATACTACAGCTGCCAATGGTGGAACACACGGCAGTTTCAGTGGTCAACCAGCAACCAATGGGAACTTAGTGTCATGAAGCAGTATCATGAGAAAGCTATTTTGTCCCCTTTATTAACTTTTATTAATTTCTCTTCCCTATCTGATTCGTACAAATATCCTAGTCTATCAAAGAAAGTGGGAAGTAAGCTCAGAACTCTTGGGCAAGTAAATCAATTTTATATTGCTCTTATTTGGGGAAAGGGTTGAGGCAAGGAATCAAACCCACAGCCTCACACATGTGAAGTATGTGTTATACTACTGACTGGCATTCCTGGGACCCTAAAATGATTTTTACTGTGATACTGATGTTGCATTTAAAATTAAGAAAAAAGTGTCTTATTTTCGTTAGTTAAATTTTTTTTTTAAGTAAACTCTTCTACATTCACTGTATTTCAATTTTTCTCTGGGATAAGAATTGAATTGTATAAAGAGAGACAGAGGAAGAAAGTAAAGATTGCTTTTGATCTTTTACTTTATTAGTAGTGAAGTTACCATTCCAATCTTTACTCATAGTTCTATTCATTTTAACTTGAGAAGCTTCCATTCTCAGCTACTAAACTATGTAAGATACAGCATTGAAAAAATGAGGAAGAAGACAACATTTTTCATACAGAGAGACAGTATAGTGGGTAGTGTGTTTGCCTTGAATGTACCTGACCTGGGTTTGATCCCCAGCCTCCTGTGTGGTTCCTCAGGCACACTGCCAAGAGTAATTCCTGAGTGCAGAGCCAGAAGTAAGCCCTGAGCATTGCTGAGTGTGACCCAAAAGCCAAAAAAAAAAACCCCAAAAAAACCAAAAAAAACCTGAATGTGAGGGCCAGAGAGATAATATAAAAGGTAAGACACTTGCCTTGTATCAAGTCAACCCTGGTTAACTCCCCAGCACCACATAGGTTCTCCTAAACTCTGCCAGGAATGATTGCTGAGCACAGAACCAGGAGTTTAAGCATTGAGCACTGCAGGATGTGGCCTCATCAATACTTCCCTGCAGATGAAAAGAATTGAATGAGTTCATTTTAAACTCATTCATAGCATATTTTATCTAAACGATACCAATTATGGAAGCTAGGATAGAATATTGTGACAGTAGTATGATAGTAACTAAATTTGAGCAAATGCTAATGTAAATTTTAAATTAGAGACTATTTCCTGTCTACTTGAATTTTTCAGTCAAGGAAAACTGATGTTTTATGATGCAGTGGTTCAGTCTTTAAAGCCTCTTCAAAGCTTTTCATGTTTTGTTTTAAAATCCTTAAGTTCGCATTAACAATAGTGCTTGATTATTTGCTGACTTTCTACTGCTGGGTTTTGAAAGTTTGGGACAGAGTGCTGAATATCGTCATATTTGGTCCCTTGAAATCTCCAACAAGCCCAACGTATCAGAACCTGAAGAACCAAAGATTCGTTTTGTTGCTGGTATCCATGGAAATGCTCCAGTTGGAACAGAACTGCTGTTGGCTCTGGCAGAGTTTCTCTGCCTAAACTACAAAAAGAACCCAGCTGTGACCCAAGTAAGAGACTAGCCTATTTTCACCTGCTTGTTTTGGAAAAAATTCAGTGAAACTTTGATACTTACTCAAATATTTTATTCCTTGTTAAATTTTATATAAAACACTTTCAGCACATTCTTTAAAAATGGGTCATCTTTAATACTTAGTAGTGTATTTCTGTTATTTCTTTGTATAAAGAGAGACAGAGGAAGAAAGTAAAGATTGCTTTTGATCTTACTTTATTGGTAGTGGAGTTACCATTCCAATCTTTACTCATAGTTCTATTCAATTTAACTTGAGAAGCTTCCATTCTCAGCGACTTAAACTATGTAAGATACAGCATTGAAAAAATGAGGAAGAAGACAACATTTTTCATAAAATAAATGCTGTATTGCTGAGCTGCATGCCTGAACCCTTAAAAGCCCTGAAATAAATATTAGGGTTCGAGTATGAATCTCTTAGCTCTGGGCTGCTCAGAGATTTCAGTTTGTTATTATCTACTTTAGCAGTTCATGATTGCAGAAAAGAACTCTGATTCAGAGCCTTAGTTATGTATGATTAAGCATCCTAGTTCTCTGGGTTGTCCTAGAGAAAAGCTGTGTATATACCTAAAAATTATTTGGGATAAGGTATAAAAAACTTGGGCGAGGTTTATAATACCTGTTTAATAACAAGTAATAATACTAGTTTAATAACAACCACATGGAGTACTTTACATTTTATCCTCAGTCCCATAATTATGTCTATTTTATATATGTGAAACTTGAGGTAAAGATATTTGATAACTTTTTTTTTTTTTGCTTTTTGGGTCACACCCAGCGATGCTCAGGGGTTACTCCTGGCATATGCACTCAAGAGTTACTCCTGGCGGTGCTCGGGGGACCATATGGGATGCTGGGAATCGACCTGGGTCGGCCATGTTGGCTATGTGCAAGGCTATCGCTCCAGCCCCTATTTGATAACTTTTAAGTGATAAAACTTAAAAAGGATTTTAAACCCAAGTGTGTGTCGCTCAAAAAAAGTTACGCTGTTCATTGTACCATACTACCTCTTTCAAAAGAAATTTGAAAAGAATTATAATCATAATTGGGATCATACAGTATCTAATCAGAAGGGTTGAATGTGATGGATTTAAGTCAGCCTTAATTAAGTTATTTTACCATCTTCAGCGAAAGAAATTCCACTGACTTTTCCCTGAGGTGCAGGGAATGTCTCAGACATATTTTTGTTCTGTTTTAACATGGGAGACTACCTTGGATAATGTTTATCAATCTTGACTGTGAGTTTCAAGAGAAAGGTGTCAGCGCGAGGGGGATGAGCGTTTGATGGCCTAGAACTGTTCCTCTGGCCGGCCCACGGCAAGAGACAGATGAAGGACCAGGGGAATGAAGAAACAGAGACTGGGCCCCAGGCTAGTTGGTAGTCAGTTTATTTCTCTCTCCTCCCCAGTGTAGTTCGATTTCTCTCCTTACAGCACAATCTTTTTTTTTTTTTTTTAGTGAAACACCATGAGATACAGTTGTAGACTTAATAAGTTTTTGTGCTTGGATTTCAGTTATACAATGAGTACCCATCCCACCACCAGTTCCCATTCTCCACCCCTACCAATCCCGGTATCCCTCCCACCCACCCCCACCCCCAATCCCACCCTGCCTCTGTGGCAGGGCACTCCCTTTGTTTTCTCCTTTTGGGCTTACAGCACAATCTTTTTAGTTGTAGTTTTGGTTGTAGTCGCAGTCATCATAGTTCCCTCATTCTCATCCTTATAGTCCTCTTAGTTCTCATCTAGTCCTTATCTTTCTAATCCCTTCTTTCCACCTTATAGCATAGTTATATAGAAATAGTGAAGGATGGTGTACACATAAGTGGGGTTGAACATTGTCATAACAACAAACAGATGTAAAGTCCCTCCTTCAGGGGAAGTTCTAGGAGATTAACTCAAGGACAAAATCTCATCTGAGGGTACTCTAGATTACTAGGAGATACACTCAAGGGTGGGATTCCATCTGTGGGGTTATTGCTTTCTTCTTTCCTTAGCTAGTAATCCATTGAAATGATCATAGTAAATTTACTTCTTATAATACTTCTAGTCATTTTGTATGAACACAGTCAGAGATATATTAAGCTTAAAGATTGGCTCTTCCTAGGGACATCTTGATATATATTCCAGACCACAATCCTCATACCAGGTTAGTCTTTCCTAACCCCAGCAGGGTCCTTATTCAGTTACTTCATTTTGGGTCATGACCGAGTTTGTTCCATGACCATGCTCTTAAGTTATTACACTTAGGGTGCTTAGCTTGTCTCCTTTTGATGCCAGGGTAGCTTATAGCTTACAGTCCATCCAGTGCCTTCATTGGGACCCTCCTTTTGGGAATGTTAGGAAGTAAGGGCAGCTGAGGTTTGTCAGCTAAATATGATGAATGCACAGGAGTAAATATTATTTCGGAATCAGTTAACTCCCATGTTACAAAGCATAGCATGAACTGTCTTCCTGTGTCTATTCAAAAAGGACATTGCTAAACCATGCAAATGACATAAAGGAAAGATAAAAGCAATACAGGATTATTAGTGCTTGATGGAATTGTGCCTCAGGGGCGCTGTTGTGGGCGTAACTCAATAAACCTAAGCTCCCTGTGGTAGGAACAAGGACAGCCCAATGCTATCCAACACTTGGCTATACTTTGGAAGCACCTATGTGGTTTATTTTAAGATATCAATTCCTGGGACCCATTCCAGAGACAGAAGTATTCCGTTAAAAGTGCTGTGCATTAGTCTAACAGTTGGCATAGTTACTACTTACTGATTATATGGTTGCTCAAGACTACATATATCCTAGATAAACTACCCACTAGGAATTTTAAAACAGTGTCTGAGGATTTGCCTTGTTAGTTTAATTGGACTTGAACTAGATTGCTTTTAGTTTGAACTAAGGGCCACAATTATTACAGAGAGTCTTTGGTCGATACATAGACACACATACACACATACAAACAACTGTTATAAAGGCCATACGTAATAATTTAGGGGGGAAAAAAATCTCTTCTCAGGGAAGGATTTAAGGACAGAAGAATGGAAGGGTCTGAAATATTTTCAAGCTATATTTTAATATCCAAAATCCCGTGACGTATTCGATATGCCAAACAGTAACAACAAAGTCTCACAATGGAGACGTTACTGGGCCCACTCGAGAAAATCAATGAACAACGGGAGGACAATGACAGTGATAATATCCAAAATAAATAAACCAGATTAGAAACATGGAGTCAGAAATGTAGTACAGGAATTAAGGTGCTTGTCCTTGCATTCAAATGAGCCAGGTTCAAATCCAGGCACCATATGTGGTCTTCTGAGCACCACCAAGGATCACTCTTGAACTTAGAGTAAGGATAGGCCCCTGAGCACTGCGGGTATCCTCCTTCCCCAAAAAAGAAAATTAATATTGGGTGAAATGCTATGTATGCTATATAGGCTATATCTGAGGTATTAACACCAATGTATCATCTAGAAGGGAAGTGGTTTATAGGAATGCAAAGACTATTTTATTTTTTAACTCTTCTGTTTTGTTATTTCCAGACTTGCACTATCATTTGTCAAGCTATGCATTTCAGTTATTTATTCATATATTTATATATTGCATATAAGTTTTTGATTGAAAAAATATTATTACTAAACTAAGGCAATGGTCAGCACACCTTTTCTGTAAAAGGGTTTGTAAGTATGTATCATAAGTCTTGTGGGACAAATAATGGTTTGCTATTACTCAACACTGCCAGGGATACAAAACTAGTGCTTTGAATGAGCCTGATCATACACCACTAAAACATGTACAACAGCAGGGGGCTGGAGTTAGTCTGCAGCACTGGTCTCTGCCCCTGTTGTAAGTCATCAGGAAGTTTTGGGGAACATTTATCATACAGTATTTATGTTTTTTTTAATTTACTTAGAGTAAGAGAGAGCTTTATGCATTTATTTTTAGTTTCACCTTTTAAATCTGTTTAAAACTAACAAAAACTGATGTGTGAAGAAAGGTTTCCTTTGATTCCACATAGAGCTAATAAACTTGTTGCTTTTTGTTTCTGTTCTAGTTGGTTGACAGGACTAGAATTGTGATTGTCCCTTCTCTAAATCCAGATGGGCGAGAGAGAGCACAAGAGAAGGACTGTACTTCAAAGATCGGACATACAAATGCTCGTGGCAAAGACCTGGACACAGACTTCACAAGTAAGCCTCATTTTCAGACTATTCAAGTGCCTTGCAGATCATTTCATTGCCTTTTGTTAGAAGATTGGTTGTTTCTGTATTATAGGTAGTAATGGAGTACTTCTTATCAAGATTATGGATTTAATCAACCAGAGTTTTTGAATATTCTTTATAATTTGTAAAAGTAATTCAAATTTAATTTGCAAATGAAAAATTCTTAAACAAATAACAATATTGGAAAGGCCCTTTACTAGATATCCGAAGGGGGCTCCTTGACTAGAAATGTTTCTCTCTACTCTCTCCCATGCATCTTACCTACATATATATTTTGTTTTGAAAGGGTCTGTTTCTTACTCATATAGAATAATCAAATAAATGTCTCTTCTGAAAAATTTTTATTAAATAAATTTTTGACACCTTTACATATGGGTATTTATAGATTTCTAGCATTCTTAATTCATGGTAGTCAACTACAATAATTCATGCATGCCAATAATCTCTTCAACCATTTCCCTAGTAATGTACATTTAGTTTTTTTCTAATTTTTGTTCTTGCAAATATGCTATAGAAAATCTGCTTTCTTAAAATCTTATTTTATTTTCAAGATTGGTTATATATTCCCGAAATTTTATTTCATCTTTTTGTTTTTGAACCACACCTTGGCAGTACTCAGGGATCATTCGTGTTTTTGTGCTCAGGGGCCACCCCTTGTGATGCTCAGGGGACCACATGTGGTGCCAGTGATGGAGACAGGGTCAACTGGGTGCAAGGCAAGCACATTTAACTCTGTGCTATCTTTCAAGCCCCCTAAATTATACTTTAAAGTAGAAAATGCCCATTTCTCCCTTTTTCAATAGGTTTGTGAACTTTTGCTTAGAATCACTAACCTTTATATATTATCATGAAGTATGTAAAGCTGAAGATTAACTACCTTCTGGAACGTATCGTTCTTGCTTGAAAGAGTGTTTAGGGTATAATAAAATACCTTCTACAGGTGCTGTGTAAGTCTGCCTTTAGTTCAAGTAAGGAATGATTTCATAGCTGTTCTGACTAAAATTTTTAAAAGTTGATATTTTTTGACTTTTCTGATTTTTAGGTAATGCCTCCCAGCTAGAGACTAAAGCCATCATTGAAAATTTGATTCAGAAACAGGACTTCAGTCTTTCTGTTGCTTTAGATGGTGGTTCTGTGCTGGTCACATACCCATATGATAAGCCAGTACAAACAGGTATGTGGAATAGCACTTTACATGTGTACTATCTAAACTTAAATAGGAGAGTCCCTTAGGTATTGTCCCATCTCATTTTTTTTCCCAAATAGCAAGCATTTAAAGATTCTCCATGAGCAAGCTACCAACTTAATGCTGTACAAAGATATCAACAGTTCAAATAGTTACTTTGAAGAAAAAGGTCAAGTTTAACAGTGGTCCAGCTTTATTAAACATAGCTCTCTTACTATACCTATTCAATTTAATCAACAAGCATTTCTCGAATAATTAAATATAATTTAATTATTTTTGGAATATAAAAGTGAACAATATGACAGTGTCTGCCTTATTCGAAACTTATATGAAACTCATTGGTAACCAGTATTAGTTTTATTAATAATTCAGAATTGCCTTTCCCTGCCTCAAGTCTTGACTGACTGTGCCTCTAATGATTTAAACAGCTTCTTGTGGCATCTCCCACGGGCATGAAAATAGTTTCTGTAGTTTTCACTGAAACTTACATAGGGAATTCTAATTCTTTCATTGTTTCCCCCAAAGTAGTAAATCATATCAAGAAAGGTTTGTGTTTTGGTGTGGTGTAGTCAGTACTGTAAATTCATTAGTACCTCTTAGTTTAAGAATAATGTTTGTTCTTGATCTGATTAACCTGGGCTAAACAGATATAGCTAATTACAAAAATTCCTGGGCTGGAGCGATAGCACAGCGGGTAGGGCGTTTGCCTTCCAAGCAGCCAACATGGCCGACCCGAGTTCGATTCCTCCGCCCCTCTCGGAGAGCCCGGCAAGCTACCGAGAGTATTCGATATGCCAGACACAGTAACAACAAAGTCTCCAATGGAGACGTTACTGGGCCCGCTCGAGCAAATCGATGATCAACGGGAGGGCCTTTACCTTTACCTTTACCTTTACAAAAATTCCTAAGTAAACTTAAGTGGGTTCTGAGATTTACTGGAAGTGGAAGAGAACTTTTGTATTCATGAATTTGAACTGGCATGGGGGCAGGGTTTATCTTTTGGATATCTTTGCCAACTGGGTTGTTCTTTTTGTAGTGGAAAACAAAGAGACTCTGAAGCATTTGGCATCTCTTTATGCAAATAACCACCCCTTCATGCACATGGGTCAGCCCAGCTGTCCAAATAAATCAGGTAGGTGTGTTCCCTGCCATTTGTTACTAGTTATTGCTGCTTTTATCTTACAGTTTTGTTGATCCTAACCTCGATCTTGTGCTTGCAGATGAGAATATTCCAGGAGGAGTAATGCGCGGAGCAGAGTGGCACAGTCACCTGGGCAGCATGAAGGTATGATTTAGAGCAGTGGTCTTCACTCATGGAGCCTGGTGGGTCCACAGGGCTCAAAAGGTTGAACTACTGATCTACCAGCTTGATTATAACTGCCCATCCATGGATCAGTGTGCAGGACAATGCCAGTCTGCAGGTATAGAAAGGTTGAAGAACTCCGCTTTAGAGAATACCATGAGGGTGGAATTATAACTGCTGACGGAGTGGATGGATGACTAATACAGGAAAAGTGGTTGCATCTGCTTCATGACTCTCTTGACCTGGCGACTTCGAAATTAACCGCTGACAGTGTTACTTTTTCTGCTCTTTTTGTCATTTTGCAATTAGGTGACCCTGCTTTTCACTTACAGTGTGTGTACTCATCACCCCATTTCTCAAACTTTTTCATCACCCCAAACAGAAACTAATTCTCAAACTCTCAAAAGCACTAATTCTCCATTTGCTGTTACTTCTAGCCTCTGATAATTGCTAACTTACTTTCTGTCTCTGTATTTACCCATTCTCATTATTTTATATAAGTGGACTCACACAGTATTTCTCCTTCTGTTTCTGACTGCTTTCACTCAGCATGTATTTTCTGGAGTTGTGTAGCTTGTCACATGTATGAGTCATACTCCATTGCCTTTTTATAGGGTGACTCCCAGCACTTTGTGGCCCGATGATGTGGGACAGTTTGGAGTTTGATTGCGAGCTGTGATGCTCAGGTAGTGAACCAGGACCACAATTGTGAGGCCCCAAGGGCCTTCGAGGAACCAAGGACGAGACTCAGGGTCTCACACCTGCTGGGTGTCTAGATCTCATGATATCTCCCTAGCCCCTCTATTCTTTCTATGATTGAGGGATGCTGCACTTACATACCACATTTTATTGACTGATCCATCTGCTGGTCAAACACTTGAATTGTTTCCATCTTCTCATTATTGGCAATGATGTCGCCATGAATATTTATGTATAGTATCTGTCTGAGCTCCTGCCTTTAATTCTTTGGGACATATACAAACAAGTGGGAAAACTGGTCATATTAATTGTATGTTTAAGTTGACTGGGGGAGGTTCTTAAGAGGCAGGGGAGGAGGGGTCTTTCTCATGAGTCTCATCCATCATCCAATCAGGTTGCAGTTTAATGTTTAATGCAAGGGTTTTGGGGATATGGTGCTATTAATGATCCACTTGGCAGTGCTGGCTTGGCCCGGGGTGTCGCGGATGGGGGGAGGCTCCAGGGCCTCACCCACTAGTGCTCAGGAGCCTCCATGTCTGTACCCAGTGATGTTCAGGGGACTGGACCATGTAGTGTCTTGGATTGAACCCAGCTACATGCAAGGCATGTGCCTTAACACTTGTACTATCTCTCTGCCCCTCTCTGTTTAATTATGAGAAACTGTCAAACTGTTTTCTTAGTGACTAAATCAACAATTGATGTGGGTTTCGATTTTGCCACATTCTCAGTAAAACATTTCATTTCCATTATTTGAATAGTCCTCTAGTACGTGTGCTGTGGTATCTCATCACTGTTTTTATAAACCAGCATTTTATTTTTCTTCTCCAACCTCCCCAACTCTTCCCTTTGTTATTATTGTGTTATCATACAACACCCCTCTGGCTGTGGTCTTCTGCACATTTAGTTGTGTTGCTTGCTGGGGATCATGCATCAGATTGTGGTGCTGGCAGAGGGTTAGACTCACCCTTTTAGCATTGGTGTGCACCACAGGCTGCTGTGGCCTGGACATTGCTTGTCACAGCCAGCAGAGCTGCCAGAACAAGGACACAGCTGTTGGGACCACACTTACCATATGTGGCATTGCTTGGGGATTGAACTCACAGCCTCATGCAGAACAGTCACTCCAGGCCACTGAGCTGTATGGTACAGCTATATGGTACAGAATCCTTCAGATTGGAGTTTCGGTCATTAATGCTACTGAGCATCTTTTCATGTGCTTATTGACCATTTATGAACTTTCTTTGAAGAAATTTCTGCTCAAGTCCATTCCCACTTGATTGTTTTCCTTTTGTTGTTGTTATAAGAATCCTTTATTGGGTGCTAAACACTTATCAGATACTTAATATGCCAGCAATTTCTTCCATCCTGTACATTGTCTTTTCACATTCCTTTGATGCAAGTTTTTTGTTTATTTGTTTTGGGGCTATACTCAACTGTGCTCAAAGCTTACTCCTGACTGCACACAGGGGTCACTCCTAGCTGGGCTCAGTGGATCATATTGGGATATCGGGGATTGAACCCACGTCAATTGCACATATGACAAATGCCCTACCCACTGTTCTATTTCTTCAGCCCTTGATGCAAGTTTTTTGTTTTTGTTTTTATTTTTTAGTAAATTACCATGAGGTACAGTTACAGACTTACAGACTTTTGTGCTTATGTTTCAGTCATATCCCTCACTCCCCATCCCACCCCCCCACTACCCTCTGCCTCTGTGGTAGGCACATTCCCTTTTACTCTCTCTCTGTCCTTTGGAGTGTTATGGTTTGCAGTACAGGTATTAAGTAGCCATCATTTTCGGTCTATGGTCTACTTTCAGCACACATCCCCCATTCCCAAGCAAGCCCTCCAAGTTGATACAAGTTTTTAATTGTGGTGACATCTTCAGCATAATATAAGTTTAGGGTGTATATGCCAGTGGACTTTAACCACTGGGCCAATGCTATTCCAAAGAACTTTCTGCCAATCCACAAAGTTAACATACAGTTAACATACAGTGGTTTTCCAGTACTGGTTCTGTAGGGGTAGAAGTGTTGGAAATCACTGGTATACACCCCCCACCAACCACTGGATGACCCACCTTACTTGTCTCCTTCCCAGCTCTGGTAGCTACCATTCTCATGTCAACATCCAAAGGTTGGTTTCCCTTTTGCTTTTGCTTGTTCATTTGCTTTGTTTCTCTATGTTACACATAGTGGAATCATATGACATTCATCTTTCTTTTTCCAACTAATTTCATTTAGCACAATCCACTCATGGTATGCCATTTTATTACCAATGGCAAGAGTTTAATCTTTTCCTAGAGTTGTCATGTACTTATAGCACATGGTTTTTATCTCACCCTCCAGTCCTCCACTTAGGTGGATCCCATAAGTTGGCTCTTGTCACTAAGCCTGCATTGAACTTAGATATGTGGCTATCTTCTTAGGGTAGAGTTTTGTGTGATTTTGTTGTTGTGTTTTTGTTTGGGGGGCCACACCCAGCAGTACTCAGGGCTAACTCCTGGCTCTGTGCTCAGTGATCACTACTGGATGGGGCTTAGGGGACTATACAGAGTATTGGGGATCTAACCCATGTTGACCAAGTTTAGGAAAAGCACCTTCCCAGCTGTACATTCTGAAATTTTATGTGTACAGCCCTCTCCACTTTAAAATTTTATTAAATAACCTTGATTTACCTGACTATATATATTAGAGATACAACTTCACATGTCTTCAAAATACATCTCCACACTACCCCTACCACTAGAGTATACCACAGTCTGTGGCCCCTTTCTCCCACTGTCTCTGATAACCTTAGTTCTTTGATCTGAGTCCAAGGGTGGTGTTCCCGTCCCCTGATCCAGAAATAAAAGTTTTATTTAGTGAAATATGAGGAGGGAGGAATGAGAAAATGGGTGAGGGACAGAGAAAGGAGGAGAAAAAACGGAGAAGAGATAATGGAGACAGAGAGCTCTCAGATAGGAGAGCGCCAACGGTACCTCTTGACGTAAAAGAAAAGAATTATACATCTCAGAGTGAGGTGTGAACAACTCCCCAAATGGAGAAATGTCTTTTCTTTTCTTTTTTTTCTCTGTTTCCTTTTTTTGCTTCCCTGTGTCCCACTTAACAGTGAGATCATTCTGTATTTATTCTCCTTCTGGAGTCATTTAGCATAACCCCTTCAAGTTACATCAGTGTTGATGTGAAAGGCAACATTTCATCTTTTCTTACAGCTGGATCAGTATTTCTGCACGCGTGCCACATGTGTGTGTATGTGTGTGTGTGCACGTGTTTTTTTTTTTTTTTTTTTTTGCTTTTTGGGTCACACCCGGCGATGCTCAGGGGTTACTCCTGGCTCATGCACTCAGGAATTGCTCCTGGCGGTGCTTGGGGGACCATATGGGATGCTGGGAATCGAACCTGTGTCGGCCATGTTGGCTGCGTGCAAGGCAAACGCCCTACCCGCTGTGCTGTCACTCCAGCCCCTCACATGTGTTTTTTAATCTTGAAAGTTGTGCTATTTGCCTACTTGTACCTGTCAATTTTCGCTGGCACAGCAATTCTAGAGGATGTCTTTAAAGAGGAGGTAGGTCAGCCATGCCTCATTGTGCTCTCAGTGACTGGCAGTGTGTGACTATTGGTTTGTTGAAATTCTGGGGTTCTTTTCATTGTCTAGATAAGAGGATTTGATCTATAGCTACCGTATTGCCGCCAGACTGGCCTGTTCTTAGGATTCTTGGAACCTGATCTTGATGTGGCTTTTTTTTTAATGGTGGAATACCTTTTGAGCATCCACTTCCAAAACAGGGAGGTTCATTCATATTGACAGTTATTAGACAACTAATTTTCTTCCATAGTCAACAGATCTAGAGTTTTCAGAAACTTTGCAGCTACTTTTACATCAGCAATCACCTTTGCTTTACATAACGATAAACATTTATGTGTTCAAACCACTGAGATGTAATATCGCTGTAAATTCAGTATTATGATCAGGTCTGGCGTTTTCTTTCAGTATTGCACACAGATTTTCACTTTGATCAGATAGGTCAGAGGAGATAGGTCATATCCTGGAGCATTTGCTTGCTGGAACACGAAGACAGGAGCAGCTCCTGAGCTCTACTCAACATGGCCCAAAAACAGAACAAAAAAGCAAGAGATTTAATCAAACATAAGGGGGAAATTATGCTATCAAGAATTGTGGCAAACACCAGGTCAATAAAGGGTTGTTTTTCTTTCTTTTCATTTTTTTGATGTGGGGAACCCCGGCCATGCTACTCTCAGCGTCCCCTGCCAGTTCTGTGCCTGAGGATCTGTCCCAATAGTGGTTGGGGGACCAGGCTCTGCCAGGGATTAATTCCAAGCCTTCATTTTCTTTATCTGCTCATTCATTGTTGGGTGCAAAATAAATGTAGGCATGCAGGTATCTTTTTGAATTAGAGATTTTATTTTGGGGGGATAGATACCTAAGTGTGTAGCTGCTAGATTAGATGGTTAATTTTTAATATTTGAGATATATCCATAAAGTAAAGTAAATACTGCTTTTTCCACAGATGTGGAACCAATTAATATACCCACCAATGATGTTATACTACTGTATTTGTGTGTGTGTGTGTGTGTGTGTGTGTGTGTGTGTGTGTGTGTGTGTTGCCATGGATGAAACCTTCTGCTTGGGAGGCTTGTTTTCTGCCATTGAGCCACAGCCCCGGCTATTCCCAACAAAAAGAAGAGCTGCTTTTCTCCACACCCCCACAAACACTTGCTGTTACTGGCCTTTTTGAGACCATTACCGCGAGTGTGAATGATATTTCATTGTCATTTTGATTTGCATTTTTCTGATGATAAGTGATAATGAGCACTTTTTTGTAGGCCAGTTGACCATCTTAGTTGAGTATCTGTTCAGCTTTTCCCCTGTTTTTTGACAGCATTGTTTTATGATTGCTGTGAACTACCTTTTAATAGTCTTCAGGTAAATATCTAGAAATGAAATTTCTAGGCCATGTGGTAATTATATCTTTAATTTCTATAAGGAATCTTTGTTCTGTTTTCCATAGTGGCTTTCCCCATTTCTGTTCCTATAAGAGTTCCTTTTCCTCCACACCTTATTTTTGTATATTAACCCCTGGTCTAATATTTAGTTTGCAAATACACTACCTGCTACTAGGCTGCTTTAATGGCATTAAAATGTTTCTTTCACTGTGCAGATTTTGAATTTGATGTCGTCACATTTGTTCTCTTTCATTTCCTGTTTTGTTGGTGGCTAAACCACAAAGACATTGCTGAGGCTAATGTTGAAAGCTTATGACCTATATTTTTACCCGTGTATATTTTTTTATAATTTATTTATTTATTGAATCACTGTGGGAAAAGTTACAGAGCTTTCAGGTTTAGGTCTCAGTCATGTATATATCAAACACATTTCCCTTTACCAATACTTATTTTTTACCGTGAACCCCAATAGAACCCCACCTCCCACCCCTCCCAATTCCTGTGAGGCAGATGAGTTCTAGTTAACACTCTATCTACTTTGACTAGATTCATTGTTTCGATAAAAGATGCACCATTATTATTTAGAGTTTACGACCCCCCCTCCCCCCAAATCAGACATGCTGAAAAAGCGTTGTGAAATGACTTGCTTTCTACAGCTGGGTTTAAGAATTAAATGATGTCGCACGGCCACTATTGCGGCTGCGCGGTTTTGGATTTCTGCTATTTTACTTATTAACTCTGGAACTATTTCTATTAAAAGTTAGATAATTAAGAGATTGGTTTCTGTGCTCTGGAGTCGTGGCTGTGCTGGAGAGCCGCTCGTGGGGGCAACTGGTGACGGACCAGAACACCCTTTCTCCTCCTGGCAGGCATGATGGCGCGGTTTAACACATAGTCCATTCGCTTTTCTGCTCCAAGCTGCATTCTGTGTTAAGTCCTTGTGCTTCTGGGGCCTTGGCCATGCCAGATAGCCGCTCGTGGGGGGCAACTGGTGACCTCGGTAGGGCGTGAAGGACGGACTGGAATGCCCCCCTTCCCATGAGGTTTTTGCCTCCCCCGACCTCCGGCTCAAACCTGCTGTCCACAAGGCTCCTGTGCGGCCGCCATCTTTCACCCATGTATATTTTTTGTTTCAGATCTTATATTCAAGTTCTTGATCCAGCTGTACTGATCTGTAAACCACTTTAGGTTATTCTAACTTTTTTGTTTTGTTTTATCTTGGGGCCATATCCAGTGGTGCTCAGGATTTACTTCTTTACTCAGGGATCACTCCTAATGGTATTTGGGGGAATCATGGGGTGCTAGGGAATTGATCCTGGATGGGCCATATGCAAGGCAGACATCCCCTGCCTGTTGAACTGTCTCCAGCTAACTTCTTAACAATGCTACCTTCCTATCCATAAATACAATGTTTTCTTTTTCTATTCACTCAGGTCTTTAATTTCTTCCTAATAGCATTATAATTATTACTTTTCTTCACATTAGAATTGTTAGTATGGAGGTTCATTAGCTGATCATTCCATTTACATGTAAAGAATTGAGCTCATTCGCATAACTGCTGCTTTGACTCCTTTACTTATTAAGAACTTACTACATGTGAGAAAATTTGCCATTTTAGTGATAAACAAAATATATTCCCTGGCTCATTGTGCAAACTCTGTAACTGATATAGAATTTGTTCTGTTCAAACGTCTGAAGCATGTGCTTTGCATTTGGAAACCCCAAATTCATCCCTGGAAGCACATGTTCTCCCTAAGCATCAAGCTTGAAGTAGTTCACCAACACCACCAGGCATGGCCCCCCCAAAAAAACAAACACAACAACCCACCAAAATAACTAAAATCTAATACTTAGAAATTTCTCTCCATCTTCTCATAGAAAAGACAGTATTTGGGATAAAACTGTTGAAATCAGAAATAATATGGGCAGAAGTCAACAGTTTTGGTTAGATTATGGGGGTGTAATGGAAGAGGAAAGTGAAAAGAATTTGGGACTTTGGGGTTCTTTGCATTAGGAAGAAATAGGAACCCTCTGAAGGTTTGGAGCAAGGATACAATGATATGATGCAAGCTGTGCTCTGGAAAAGTTCATGTTAACTCTAAGTGTTACAGTTTGGAAGGAGACATTATGTTGCAGGGAGACTGATTTAGAATAGCCCAAACGAAAAACCCTGAGAGCTTAGACAGGGCAGGGGCCATGAGAGTAAAGTCAGGGATAAAGTTTCAGAGATAACTGTATAGGTGAAATTGACTAAATTTGGCTAATTATAGATAGTAGTGAGCAAAAGAAGTAAACAACAAGAAAAATACCATTTTTCAAAAAATTGAGATAGTACAGCAGTAAGGGTGCACATGTAGCACATGCATCTGACCTGGGTTTGATCCCTAGCACCACATGGTCCCTCCAGCATCACTTAGATGCAGCTCTGGAGGCTTCTGAGCAATGCTGAGAATCGCAGGTAGGGCCACCATTGGCCTGAGCACCACTGAACAGCCCAAAAATGAAGCAAAAAAAAAATTGAGTTAAGCCATTAAGACATTGAAGAAAAGTGGCAAGTGAGGTTTGACTCTTTCCTGGCTAAATGCTGTAGTGCAGGTATTGGGTCTGTCAGCAACAGACTTGAAAGAACCTCCAGCTGAGGCATCAGAAGGCCTGTGCTTCCCCATTCAGGCTTCCAAGAACTACCATGAAATGCCAGGGCTTCAAGGGAATCTGGACCTCTGCATGTACTTATTTGTCCATTTATTTATTCAACAAATCCTAATAAACATTTTCCTAATAAGCATTTTTCTGCCAGGTATTATAGGAATCACTGAAGGGATACAAATGAATTAGATAGGTCCAGAGAGTTCCATAGGAGGCTCAAGTTTGATCTCAGCAAACTTGACCTCCTGGGCACTGCCAGGAGCAGATGCTGAGTTCAAGGCTGGGAGTAGTCCCCAAGCACCAACAGCTGTGGCATAAGAACAATGAAGCAAACAGAATCCCGGGGCTCAAGGGTTCTCCTGGGCATAGTCATATTCGTGACTATTGTAACACCCACCAGCTCACTCATATTTGTGTAAAAATGCTACCATTCCTGGTTCAGGTCACCTAGATTTTCTTTTTTTTTTTCATTTGTTGTATACAAATCCTTATTTTTACTCTTACTAATTTTTCTACGTTTGTTCTTGAATTTATTATTGCAGGATTATAGTGTCACCTATGGCCACTGTCCAGAAATCACAGTCTACACCAGCTGCTGCTACTTCCCCAGTGCTGCACAACTTCCTAACTTGTGGGCAGAAAATAAAAAATCTCTCCTTAGCATGTTGGTAGAGGTGAGTTGTTTTCTCTTATAGAAAAGCATGTTTCGAAGAATCTGTAGCATGAAACAAAATTTTTCTCCATATTTTGCCCAAGGTGACTACAACAAATCATAGAGAGAAATATATATGTGCCTCTTGGAGAGCCCGGCAAGCTACCGAGCTACCAAGAGTATCCCACCCATATGGCAGAGCCTGGCAAGCTACCCGTGGCGTATTCAATATTCCAAAAACAGTAACAATAATGGGTCTCATTCCCCTGACCCTGAAAGAGCCTCCAATATGGCAGCATTGGGAAAGACAAGTAAAGAGAGGCTGCTAAAATCTCAGGGCTGGGACGAATGGAGATGTTACCGGCACCCACTCAAGTAAATCAATGAACAACGGGGTGACAGTGATACAGTGATTTTGCCCAAATTTTATATTGTTTATTTAAAATATTAACAGAAGGAAGCAGAGTTTTTTTCACTTTATGTTTCCTGAATACTGTTCAGTTATTGGAATTTGCTGTAAGATCATTTAACCCTGTGAAGATGTGCAGGGACTTTCCTTTAAAAATCAGAGAGTTATGGGGCCAGAGCGATAGCACAGTGGGTAGGGCGTTTGCCTTACACTCGGCTGACCTGACTTCAATCCCCAGCATCCCATATGGTCCCCCAAGCACCGACAGGAATAATTCCATCTATTCCTTTGCCTCTGAAGCTGTAATGGGATAACAAAGTCAAAGACAGTGTAGAAGGAGCAATAGCTAATCTTACTGGGGGGAGGAGAGGGTAAGGGTGGTTTATTTTGTTGTTTGGTCATGCCTTGAGCTATTGGCTCTGGACAACCCAGCATTAGGAAGACAATGATTACTATAGTCAATGTTTTTCAGGTTCATAAGGGAGTTCATGGATTTGTTAAAGATAAGACTGGAAAACCAATCTCTAAAGCGGTCATTGTACTCAATGAAGGTATAAAAGTGCACACAAAGGAAGGAGGTTACTTCCATATCCTGTTAGCCCCAGGGGTCCATAACATCAATGCCATAGCTGATGGGTATCAGCAACAACATTCACAGGTAAGAGACTCCAATAATATCTTGTAAATTCTTATTATTAATAGTAATTTCCCCCCCCCCCTTTTTTTTAAATCGCAACAGAAAGTTTGCAGGGAATAAAATAAAAACATCACCATCTCTTTGGCAGACATCTTGTTATCCTTCTGTCCTTTTATTACAAAAGGGAATTTTTATAGCATTTTATATACATTAGATCAGTGGTGTTTAGCCATTTGATATCTGCAGATGTCACCAGTCTTTGGACTGGCAGTTGAAAAAACCACTACCTTAAATAAAAGAGCATCTCCTTTGTTGGGTATGTAGCCCTAGAAATAGAGCGGGAATGCATGGTACCTGGGTAAACCTTCCACTCATCCATGCCCTTTCTCCCTCTAGGTCTTCGTGCATCATGATGCAGCTAGTTCTGTGGTCATAGTCTTTGACACTGATAATCGGATATTTGGTTTGCCACGGGAGCTTGTGGTAACTGTATCAGGTAAAGAAATTGAAATTTTCTGCAGCTGACAATAAAGCCAGTTCTGACGTTTCACACTGAGAGAGGAAAATCTCCTCGATCACCCGAAATGCAGCACTTTGCTTCTGGGTCCTTGTCTAAACAGAATTTTCCCAGACTCCACACTGGCCTATGTTCTTCTGTTTGCCCCCTCATACTTTCTGATCTATATTCAAACCACACCTTGATACAAAAGCCTGCTCTGGATACTAAATAGTAAACAGACACCTTCTTTTTTCTATTCTAGCACTTAGCATTATGTGACATTATATCATATATTTAGTCATTTATTTCTTACTATTTCATCTCTTCTCATTGAAATATGAGCTTTGAGAAAACAAGGAATCTTTCTGTATCTCCAGCCCCTAGAGCCATGATCTTACTTAAGAGTTGAGAGCTGAATGAGTGATTCATTTTATGGGAAAATCATAAGTACCTTTTGACTTTTATTGTCCTTTTTTTTTTTCTGTTTTGAAGATCCTAGAGGAGTAAATCATTCATTTTCTTCAGAATTAGTGCTTATGTAACTTGAATTCCTGAGGGATTAGGAATAAGGGATAGAATTATAAATGCTTGCTTTATTGTATCTTTTTGAACTTTGGTTTATATGTAAAGGCAATTTAAACTTCATACAAAATAAGTTTTATTAGTGTTCAGGAGAGATCCTTAGTTAAGTGAGAAATGGTTACATCATTGAGTCTGTTGTAGAATGTTTAGAGATCTTAGCTTGGACTAAATAAAAAAGTGGGTCAGGCTTCCTCTCTCAGATCCATGTTCTTCCTTGAACATGTAGTCCTCTCTTTCTCTCCCCTCACATCTTTCTAAGTAAATTTCATTCAATAAAGAACTGCCTTGCCTCAAAAAAAAAAAAAAAAAGGATTAGATCACTAAGCGGTTAGAAATACAAGTGCTAGGATTCAGCCAAGGTTTAAATCTGGCTCTACCATTCATTTGCTCCCATTAGTTCATTTTATATATATATTTTTGCTATCATTATTGTAGTAATGAAAATTTTTTTTGGGAGAGCGTCATATCCATCAGTACTTAGGGCTTACTTCTGGCTCTGTGCTCAGGGGTCATTCCTGGTGAGACTTGAGGGACCAAATTTAGTGCTGACAATCAAACCCAAGTAGGCTCTGTATAAGACAAACCGCTTATCCCCTGTACTATCTCTCTGGCCTCTGTAATTAAGACTCTTCTTCAGACAACCTTATATATAAATGTTTTATACAATGATGAAGTTTGGAGGAGATGAAAATTTATTGGAAAGAAAAAGAAGTTATTGATAAAAGGTAACAACACACTGTGATTTCAGTGATAAACAATGCATATATGTCTGCATGCATGTATAATTACCTGGGAAAATATGTACTAGGGTTATTAAAAATGATTTCTGGGCTCCAGGGAGTTAGCTCAAGTAATAGAACACAAGTCTAATTGTGCAAGACCCTGAGTTTGATCCTGACCTCACATGGACCCTGAGCACTGCTGGGAGGTGGCACCATTCAAAAATGAATCTTTGGTTAAAGGAAATGTGAAAATTTGGGGGATGATTTACTGGTATTTTTGCTTATCTCTATCTTTCTAATTTTATACAACATATACATTCTGATGCTATACTGATACAAGGGTGTATTTTTTTAAGTGCATGAAATAAAAATAAGGCAAAGATTATAAAAAGTGCCGCTGTAGGCAACTGATTATTTCCAGTCTTAAAGTAGGAATGTGACTCACATGCTGGTTTTGTTTGGCAGGTGCCACGATGTCGGCGTTGATCCTAACAGCTTGCATTATTTGGTGCATCTGCTCAATCAAGTCTAACAGACACAAGGATGGCTTCCATCGGCTCAGGCAGCATCATGATGAATATGAAGATGAAATTCGCCTGATGTCAACTGGCTCGAAGAAATCCCTCTTAAGTCATGAGTTCCAGGATGAAACGGACACTGAAGAAGAAACATTATATTCTAGCAAACACTGACTCACAGCCTTGCGTATTTCCCAGCATAAGTACCAAGCAAAACTACAGTTCCTTTTGGGAGACAACTGCAGTTAAGAAGATAGACTGTCTTGCTTCTTCAAAGAGCTTTGGGAAGTTAACTTGCTAAATTTCTATTCTCTGTGAATTTGGCTGGCAGTTTTTAACTTCCCTTCCTTAAAATACTCTAACCTTTAAAAAAAAATCTGCTTTCTATTTATGCAGCAGAGATGGAACAGCCACTTTATTTTTCTTTTTAATTTAAGATGAGCTATTTGAAGCTTATGTGATAACTGCATAAAGCCACCTAGTGGATGTTGTATTTTGCACACTGGACGTTTACTAGTGGCTTTAGCTTTTTTTTAATTTTCAATGGCCAAAAGAATCCATAAACATTAAAGCAGGGATAGAGATCAGAATCTGACACATAGCTTTAAAAACTCAAGGTTTTCTCAACAAACTGAAGAGTACCTTTTCTAGTTATTAAAAAGCTGGAATTCTCTTTTATTGTTCAGGTTTAATGAAGGCTGAATTGATTTTAAAATACAATATTTGGAAAATAAATGGGCTTTTTTGCATTTGGCTTTTGCCTATTCCAGGGCTTGATCAGAACTGAAGAGCTTTGCTCTAAGCAGGATATCACTACCTCTCTTCCAAGGGTCAGCAAAGTTCTAAATATCCCCATTTTTAAGGGAGGACTTACTGACTTTGTTGTAAAAGATCTAAAGAGTCCATTTGAGTGGAGCTGAGAGGGAGACCTAGCAAAACTCATGTTGCCTATCTTTTCACTTGGTAAAAACCCACCGGTGCTGCTGCTTTTATCCGTGAAGCACTAGTGTATTGTAGTAAAACCTGATTCTTTCATATTTGCTAAATTTGAACCTTTTTCTGTGCTGTACGCGTATGGTTTCCAGATGTCCCAGCAATCTGCAAGATCTGAATCCTACTGAATCCATATCAAGAGTGGACAAGATATGCTTGTACATTTTACAAAATTATCAACAGTTCTTGCTTCAGCCCAAGTCTGTGCCCTGTAGTAGCATATTGATATTGAAATCAGTTGGCCAGTCTTATTCATAATAGGTCTCTGTAATTGATTGGGTTCTTGGTCCTGATATTTCACTTGATATGGTCTCCTTTTGGTCAACTTTTTTTATTCGATGTTGAGTTGAAAGCATTTAAATATGGCTTCCTCCATTAAACAAAGTGCAAACTGTGGACTGCCATGTGATATAACAAAGGTGAGAGTGTGATCTTCACTGCCAGTCAGGTTACTGCAAAGACCTGAAGATTTACATTTTCTCATGTATGCTATATCATGCTTCTCAATGGAAAGTATGCTTTTTGTAAGTATAAGTGTTACCAATGATAATGGCTTAATACCTTTGAACGTGGTTATGGCCAAGTTGCTGCTGAACTTGTACTAATTCAGGGGATCAAAAAACTTACTTTCATCTTTTCAAATTGTATTCTCTGTCCATTGGATATCCATTGCTGTTGATTATCCCAAAGCCTTCAGGGGAATGGTTTACCACCCATGTAGATTATGCAACTCAGTTCTGTAAAAAATGTACACAAAATGTCCTTATAAAAAGATTTGGCAGTTGTATAGTGCAGGAAGTAAGGCATTTGCCTTGCATGCGGTGTCCATGACCACGACCTTAGAGCAAATACCTGGCACCACATATGGATCCCTGAGCACAGAGCAGGGATGTCACAAGAACAAAAACAAATTGGTTTAGCAAGAATAGTGAAATCATCGCATTTGTCAGTGTGTGCATTAAATCTGGATGGCTGAAGGTCAAGCTGTTCTTTCATTAATCTTGTGATTAACAGCTCTAAATTTTGAACCCATGCTACCCCATTTTAATCCCACCACACACACAGAGAAGAGATTTTGTGAGGTGCTAAAACCACACATACCTGGTATATATGATTTAATTTCTAACCATTCTTTTAGAGGATACCATGGTGGTATTTGTTCTTTACAGCTTTATTTTTAGGAGTGCAGAGCTGACCAGGGGTCTCTTCGTGACTGGCCTTGTTTGGGACACTGCAGGTAGAAATGAAATAGTTGATGTGATAACCTTTACTATCTTAGCCTTGGTCTTCACTACAGGATGCCTTTTAAATTCACTTCTCCCTTCAGTTGACCTTATCTTTAGCTATATATCAGTGACTGGAGGTCATGCCTTTTAAGCATGTATGATTTTTTTATAAATAAATATATAAATAGCTCTTTTAGTAATTTTTTGCTGAAGGGAAAACCAAATTCTGCTATAAATCTTTAATGAATTTCTAAAATAATGTGTTGTGCTATAAAGCCTTCTCCACCTGTGTTAGCTATTAAGATGAATGTACATACAGGATTGTGACTACTGTGTTCTCAGCCCTGCTTTGTCTTTTATTTGTGGTCTCTCATTGTAGATCACATTAACTGCTTTAGGCATTGAAGCCATAGGGGATGGGGAATGCATTTCTTCAGTGTTTCTCCTAGAGACTTTCTCATTTCCCTAGAGTGGTGGAAGTAAGAATCACAGTATTAAGAAATTTGCCCAAATCGGAGTTGTGCCTATCTTGACTCACAAGGCATGTTTTGTTGGTTGATTTTGTTTGTTTGTTTGTTTGGGTTGTCCTTTTGTGATCGGTTTGTAAGCCTTTCCTCCTCCAAGCTCCTACATAAAAGCAAAGTGATTGAGTAGGTAATGTTTAAGTGACTGCTTGTACAAATGTGCTGAATATGCAGTTCAGTAAGTTGAACTCCAGTTAATTTTAGAATGAAGACCTTTGGTTTTCATGTATGTTACTGAACTTATTTGGGTGGTGATTGGAACCTCGTCCAGTTAAGGAATGCTTTCAGTTCTCACTGGAGGGAATTCATTTTGGGAGTCTGTCATCCTCCATAATGGAAACATAATGTATATTTGAACCCAGTGTGATTGATTCATCTTTGGTAACTTTCACCTGAATGAGACATTGAATTAATGGATATTGAGCTTAAAACTAATTATAAGTTTACAAATAAAAGGTAATGCTTATGCCTGAGCTTACTGTGTTTCTGAGCTAACACCAGGTTACTCAGTAACCGTGACCTGCTCCTCCATTTTAATTTTTTCTTGGAAGTAAATAATTCATTCTGTCTTCTTGTTATCAGAAGTGTGCGTGTGCCAGATTTTATCCCCGCTGTATTCAATCTTTCTGGTTATGGAATGCTGTAATAGTGTCCTATGTTATGGTTCTCGAGTGGAACTGTTTTTAATAGTAGCAACTTTATTGTTATTACAGAAAGATTCCACAGTGATTGATGTTCAATGGTTTATATCTAGCAACTGTTTTGTAACTCCAAGTTTCTGATTTATTTTAATTTAAGAGAACTAGAGGGGAGGGAGGGTTGTTTAGGGCCCTTGGTTAATGTCATCTGAATCTGGGTTTCGAAGGTTCATGAAGAAATACTGATTTCACCTATTTTTAGCAATAATTAATACTCCACTTGACTTTCAGAATATTGTCCTCATTGACTGGAGCGATAATACAGAAGGTAGTTGCCTTACACACAGCCTACCCAGGTTCAATCCCCAGCATCCCGTATGGTACCCCAACTACCGCCAGGAATAGTTCTCAAGTGCAGAACCAGGAGTAAGCCCTGAGCATTGCCACTTGTGCCCCACTCCCAAAATGAAATTATCTTAGTTGATTTTTGATTTGACGTATCATGAAATCTGAGAGTACCCTACCATTTGAGAAAATTGGATATAGATTATGTAAATACGTATGATTAAGACTTTTTAAAATGGCATAACACAAATATACAAGCTACATCCTGTGCTGGCCATGCTATAGATTTTCTGGAGATGTGACATAATAGAGGGTTTTTGTGCTCTGATTAAAAATCAACATTCCAGGGCGGGAGCAGTAGTACAGTGAGTAGGGCACTTGCCTACCACGTGGGGACCCAGGTTCAATCCCAGCATCTAATATGGTCTCCCAAGTACTGCCAGGAGTAATTCCTGAGTATAGAGCCAGGAGTAACCCCTGAGCATCGCCAGGTGTGACCCAAAACAAAAAAATAATAAAAATAAAAATGAATCAGCATATCAGCGTTCCTTTTTTTTCAAGAATGACATTACCCAGCTCCAGAACAATCTTAGCTCTCTCTATATATGAGGTTCCCAACACTCATTCATCTCAAGTGCTTCAGTTTGGTTTATTTCATGCACTGTGCCTTCAAATGAATTTTTAAAAGGGACTAAATGAAGTTGAATAGTAGTTTTAAAAAGTCAATCTGTGTAATTTATGTGAAATCTAACTGTAATGAGGTCCTTTCTGTTTTTTTATATGTAAACAGATCTACTAATCCTGTATAAAAGTTATTTTACGATGTTTGTCTTTCTTTGTGTTTTGTCCCAATCTTTTTTTTTTCAAGAAAATTAGATCAGAAATAGATCAGAAAAAAAGTGACTGTTTCATTGTGAAAGTTCATGCATTTTGTGTTCTATTTATCCTAAGGTGAAAAATAGTACCAGGCTACAAATGAGGTATATAGAGTTTCTTGCCTTCATGAGTTCACCGAAAAGAAAGTTGTATTTATAAAATAGTATTATATAATACCCAGCTATTTGTAGCTCAGCTAGATTGATGTATGTCCAATCATTCCACACAAAGCTGTCAGTGGAAAAGAATTATGAGCTCTTTTTACATTTCAAACATGTATGTTTCCTTTGTTTCAAGTAAGACTAAAGTAATGTGTCCTAGCACTTTTAGGCATAGAAGTGATGAATTCAGCATTCCTTTTCAATTAGGAACATTTTGTTGATACTGCTTTTGTAGGAATTAGGAAAGCAGAATTATCAAAGAAGCAAAGACTGCCGACATGGACTCATAGTCAAGACCAAAGAAATAGAAATGAGAATAAACTGGAGAGATAGTACAGGGGTTAAGATGCTTGCTTTGCACATTGCTGATCCCAGTTTGATCTGTGGCATTACGTACCATCCCCTGAGCACCATCAAGAGTGATCCCCATGCATAATCAGAAGTAAGCTCAGAGCACCACAGAATGTGACCAGAAAGAGGAGGGAAGAAGCATAGGAGAGCAGAAGGGACGGCACTGGGAAAGGAAGGGAAGGAGGTAGAAAGTGAGGAGGAGGGAGGGTGGAAGGTGGGAGAAAGGGAGGGGAGGAGAAAAAAGAAGGGAGAAAGGAAGGAAGGAGGGTAGTAAGGAAGTTAAGAACAAACTGTACTTCAGTAGTGACTGGGTGCCCTTTTTGCAATGCCTCTGCTGTAGAGTAAGTATGACAAAGATTCAGGATTGACTTTGGAGTTGAATCTGATTAGCTCTTTGCTCTGCTACTTGCTTCCTATGTTGCCTTATATTTTAAAAAAAATAAATCAAAACATCGAATCCTGATTTCCTTACCTGATGAAGAACAATGCTTGACAGGATTGTAGTGGGTATAAAATTAACATTTGACTCAAAGTGGAAATACTGGTAATAATCACTTTGATTTGCTGATTTATGATTCTCTTTTGGGGGCCACATCTGGCAGTGCTCAGGGGTTATTCCCAGATCTCCACTTAATGATCATTCCTGACTGTTCAGGGGACACATGGGATGCCGAGGACCAAACCCAGATTGGCTGCATGCAAAGCAAGCGCTCTACCTGCTGTGCTCTCTCTCCAGCCCCTTTGATTCATTTTTTGTTGTCTTTATTAAAAAATATTAACAAAGATTTGGAGGTCTTTTTTTCCTTTTAGAAGATTTCCCTAGATATGAGCACTAAAAAGAGAAAAGCTATCTTGAGTCTATAGATTGTCTATAGGAAAGTAGCAAATTCTAAAAAGTGTGCCAATTGCTTCATATTTATATTTAGGTGAAATTAGATTGTTTATTAAGTGAAAACTGCCGTATTTAATTGCAACCAAAAGTCTGAACAGTGATAATAGTTCTTTTCCACCCCAAGGTTTAAAACAGTTCCCTGAAATTTTCTCAGTATATTCATAACTGAATATCATAGACAGTCATGTGCTGATTCTATTCATCTCCTCATATATTGTTCTCAATAGATAATGGTGCTCACTTGAATTATGAAAAGATATCATTGTGTAGGTCTTCATTTCTCATTCTCACTTGCAATGAGAATGTCGGTTGATTCAATGCTGTTTATTGCAAACATTAAAAATACACCATAAATTGCCAGGGGAGAGAAAGTACAGGGATCAAAGTCTTTTGCCTTGCATGTAGCCAATCCATCCCACTTCAATTCTAGTACTGATATGGTCCCTAGAGCACTGCCATTAGTGATCCCTGAGTACAGAACCAGGAGTAAGCCCTGGACACTTCTTTGTATGCCATCTCCCCCAAAACTGTCAAAATTTTACAGCAATGAAACCAATTAATAAAGCCCAATTTTAACCTTAATATCACAGTTACAACCTATGGTAGTTCATAAGATGTAATGCAAGCCTGTTGCTACTTTGGCATTTTGTCTAGGGTCAGATGGAATCCTGTTTGTACTGCGCAAACAAATGTTGACAAAGTCAAACAAAAGTTGTTAAAGTGTAGAGGGCAGCCTGGATGATTGAAGCCAGAAGAGTAAAAGGTTAAGTTAATTAAAATAGGGTGGTTGGGGTCAGAGAGACAGTACAGTGGGTAGGGCATTTGTTGCATGCAGCCGACCTGGGTTCCATCCCTGGCATCCCATATGGTCCCCTAAGCAATGCCAGGAGTAAATTCTGAGTGGTGAGCCAGGAGTAACCTCTAAGCATCACCAGGTGTGACCCAAAAAAGCCAATAAATAACTATTAAAATTATTAAAAAATAATTTAAAGAATTAAGTAGGGTGGTTGAATAGGGGAGTTTTTAAGTGGATACCTCAAATTCAGCAAAAACAGTATTAACTTGATTAGGAGAAATATGAAGAGGTCATAGTAAAGTCAAAGTTGCAGGTGGAAAATTTTTTTTATTTTAATGTAGGAGTATTGCTATTTATTCAGCCATTGATTAGGCTGATTGAATTGGGGATGAACTCCACCTTACTTTTTTTTTTTCTTTTTTATAAATTTATTGAGTCACTGTGAGAGCAGTTACAAAGCTTTCGGGTTTAAGTCTCATACAATGATGAAACACCTGTCCCTTCACCAGTGCACATTTTCCACCACCAAAAACCCCAGTATGCCCCCTATCCCACACCCTCCCCCTACCTGTGGGGTAGATGATTTCTGCATTACTCTCTCTCTCTCTCTCTCTACTTTGATTACATTCAATATTTCAACACCATACCCACCATTATTATTTGGGATTTTACGCCAACACTCAGGTCTTCCGAAAAGGCAATCATAGACAATTTGTTTTCTATTACTGGTTATGAATAACAAACATATGATGTCACATGGCCACAGTAGTGGCCACGAGATTTTGGAGCTCCGAAATTTTAACAATTAAATTTGGAGGATTTCGGCCAAAACCTGCTGGGTTCCAAGATTTGTTCCTGAGTCTCTGCGATCATGGCTGTTAAAACAGCTTGATCAGGAGCCAGAGAGCCGTTTGTGGGTGGCGACTTGGGGGGTCTCGTTGGGGAGGGGAGGAAAGGGTCAGCTCCACCCCCATCCCATGAGGCCCTTCATCAGTGCGAGCCCAAAGTTGACTGTCCAATGACCTCTGGAGAATGATGGCCACTTAGCCGCCCGGGGGATCAGGCCAAAGCAGGAAACCTATTCCCAGCAGGTAGAAAACTTTAAGATGCAAAAGCAGATGTTGGAAACTTTAAGATGTAGGAAAATATTTCATAGTATAAATTTTATGACATGATTTATATTCTATGACTGTTATTGAGGTTGAGTCCAAGAGTCCAGGAGTCATGGGAGGATCTAAATTGCTATATCAGAACTACGATTTCAAATATTTGAAAAATCTCCAGTGTTTTCCATTATCATTGTCACTTAGAGATTATATGGTTCCTGGTAGAGTTTTACAAGATCACAGGCTTTTGATTTAGCATGATGAGCTACCCAAAGGAATTGGTAAAGATAGGAATCAGAATAGAGCAGGCAATGGTCAAATCACTTTTGAAAGAAGGACTGGGCATAAGAAGTATTATAATGTCTGGAATTTAGCCAGTTGTGCAAAGCTGGGTTGGTACAGGGGTCGAGCCATGTGGTCTTGCTTTTAGATGACAGGATAAAACACAGATTTTTGGTGGAGCATATCTTTACCTTAGATTTGGAAGTAACCGCAATTTTCCAGGGAGTGAACCAAACATGGACAAAGATCTCTGATCGCGTAAAGAAATAAAGACACTCTAGTCAGAAGTATAAAACATCCTACACTGATTTCTGTTACTGATTGGATTCCACGGGATGTCAAAAGACCGCGTGGCCGCCCACCTACCAGATGGTCAGACTTCTTCGTCAAGATCTTGAACGATCGATTTGAGGCCCTTCATGTTCCTGGAGCGAACAGATGCCATTGGGCTACACTAGCACGTGACAGGGACAAATGGAGACGTTACTGGCGCCCACTCGAGCAAATCGACGACTAACGGGAAGTTAAGTGATTAAGTGATTAAGTGACACTGATTTCTTGTGTTGCAATTTTCAAATACTGTAAAACACACACTGATTGCTTTCATATACAAGGTTAGAATCTGCCTATAGGAAACTATAAAATAGAGATTCTAGAAATGAAAATGGCTGGAGCGATAGCACAGCGGGTAGGGCGTTCGCCTTACAAGCGGCCAACATGGCCGACCCGAGTTCGATTCCTCCGCCCCTCTCGGAGAGCCCGGCAAGCTACCGAGAGTATTCGATATGCCAGACACAGTAACAACAAAGTCTCCAATGGAGACGTTACTGGGCCCGCTCGAGCAAATCGACGATCAACGGGAGGGCCTTTACTGTTTTTTTTTTTAGAAATGAAAAATACAGAAATTAAAATGAATAGTTTTAATATCAGTTGGGCACAGAAACAAAAACTAGAAGATAGATTCATAAAAATTCTCATGCAGCACAGAGATCAAAAGTGCAAAATATGAAGAAGCATTGGCAATATGATTTTCCATTGAGTTTGGAGGATGGGTTGAAAGGGAGGGGCACTCATTCCTTGGAGGAGGCAGGGAGGTACACTGGTGATAGATTTGGTGTTGATAATTATATATATGGGAAATCATCATTAACAATATTACAAACCATAGAACCTCAGCCAATAAAAAAGCTAAAAATGAATAAAAATGTGAATTTTATATGAGATTAGTGCTTGGTAATTAGAGTTCTGGGGGAAAGAAGAAAGAATGAAACATTTCATTATGTTCTATTTCCTATTTGAAAATGAAACTTTTCAAGTATAATAAATTTTTCAAAATTGATGATTTCTAGATCAAGCTCA